TTTTTCCTGGTATTGAAAGAAGAGTGGTACCAGTTTAGTATTTACACACGCTAGGTTTTACTTTCTTTGGTATCTTTATGATCTGCCTTTCTTTTCACTCTTTTGGTACTTTTTCTTTCTCACAAAGCTTGCTGGACAGAGCTTGCAACATCTTTGCAGTTACTAAAACGTCAGCTTTCAGTTCTTCAGCTGGAATACTGTCTGGTCCTGTTGCCCTGGTGCTCTTCATTTTCTTGAAGGCCAGCATGATTCCTTCAACTTTAGGTGGGGGTTTTCAGATGGGTTGGTCTACTCATGGGCTCTTCAAAATGTACGATCAACCTGTTCTTCTGTTCTGAGATCCCAATTATTCGTTTACGTTTTTTGTTCTTAACTGGCCGTTCTCAATTAATATATTTGCCAGCTAGCTTCTTCGTTGTATCAATTAGCCATTTGATATTTCTTTCTAATGCATCTTTTCTGATGCTATTGATGCCTCTTACATATTTCCGTTTACCAGCTCTTATGCCTCTCTACACCTTCTTGTGTGTGAGTCTGCGTTTTAGCCATCTTTGTTCGTATCCAACAGTTAATGTTTACTGTCTTTCTCTCCTTTCTTTCGTGAATCTTATCCAGAGTATAATTAGAGATCCACTCTTTATGATGGTCATTTGTAATTATTTCGCCTATACAAAGAAAACACGATTGGACAAATAGACAAAGTTATTATTATGGCCAGTTGTACCAGTGGACCTTTTACTGGACATTTTGTTTATTCCTACTTTTCTACTGACTTCGCATCTGCATTGTCACCATCTTGCTTTTGTTAATCTGTACCTTTTGCATGTTTTCTCTGGCACGATTTCGGTATTCTTTGGATACCATGAAATCTCCAGCAAATATAAGTCTTCATGTGCACTATCCCTTCTTCCCTGTTCTGGCTTCACAATGGGATAACGCCTAAGACCCGGAAGTAATCCGTTGGTGGACGAATTCATAGTCATCCTCGGTTCGAACCTCTACAAATTATGTGAACCGAAATTGAAGGAATTTCTAGGGTAACTGACTCTCTGATCTGGTTACAGTTGTTCTCCAGGTTAGCTTTATATTCATCAAGTAGGTCGTACAATGTTTGGAACTGATCTCTGAGAGCTATCTAGACTTCGTTGAGTCTGCCTGTATCCCAAAGAAAGGCGGTTTTGAAATTCTGTAATGCTGTATGCCCAGTTGTGCCCCTATAGTTTTAGTTTCACCTAGGCCACTACCAGATGGTGACTTGAATCTACATCAGCTTTTCTCTTTGTTCTTTTGTACTTTATGGTTCTTCTCAACTTTTTATATTGCATATGTGATCGATTACGTTTTCTTAGTATGAATTGGCAAAACTGATACAGATTATCCTTCCATGATCTCAGCTTTGTCTTCCCTCGACATCTCCATATCTTGTGTTGTACATATGAACATTGAACGTATCTTATCCATGGAAATTTTCTCACTATCCTCAGTACCCTTTCATGAAACTGATCTTCAGCATCTTCACTCCTGTCACGTGTGGAAGCATAGCACTGAATAAGATTTACTGTTATCCTTCCTTTCATGAGCATAAATGAGTGAGTGGTTTACTTGCTTCTGGAACATTATATGTATAACTCCTTTTGCGTGAGGCATTTTATTCTTCATAGTCGGAGTAAGACAGCATCTCTCCTAATGCTACCATTGTTAGTCTAGCTTGTGTCCAGTTTGCTTCGCTGATTCGAAGAAAATTCTGCTGGTATCTTTTCATTTCCGCGGCTACTTCATTAACTTCGCCGATTTCCATCAACTTACGATCATTCCTTGTACCGAATTCATGGTTGCTTCGGTTGTCAGATGAAGCATCAACCTCACGACTTCCAAAGAAACCCGACATTCACCATAAGGCGTCGTAATAATTGAAGACCTTCGAACTCTGAAGTCAGAGTTTAAATTGCTTGAATTATTTTTCTGGTCAGAATATCCTGACAATGGTAGCTTTGCATTGGATAGAATATTTAACACCATGCCCAACGCTAGTCCTTTTTATAGGTCAGTGGTGACCCTAGAATGGTTCCAGGTGCCATAATGGTCATGGACTGTTGCTAATTTTTGCCCGGAGTAGATTCCTCAAGAGCTAATACTGTCGTCAGCCTTGCTTGTTAACGAAATATCAAAGTCAGTGGATGATATGGCTTTTGATTTAAACTTGTTTTCGGTTTGCCTGCATTCGGTTTGTTATTCTGTTTTAAACTCTGACATAGGCGCTTCAGATCATGACATGTTTTCATGTACACATTCAAGCCATGGACAAATGTAGAAATTGTAATTTCCTTTCAGTTTTGGCATTTAAAAGCCTAGTTCACTTCTGTTATTAAGCTTTGACTCGTCCCATTAAATTTAGTCCGCTCCACTATGAAAACTTCTATGAAATTGAACACCACTGTATTGTTAGCACGGTCGAAGAAAACCAATGACTGTAAGCAGAACTGATAGCATTTTGTTGTTTCACACCTCTACCTGTTCCTTTTCTCGTAACGTCATTTTATTTCGATATTTATTATTAATTGAAATTGACTGTGTTTTCTTGATATATAGCCATACATTGCCAAGTTTGGTTATTCGTCCTGTATCAAAAATCTTGGTGGTCATTTCATATGTTTTTGAAGGTATAATGATTGCCTAATCAACTTAACTTTTATATCGCAACTACATTAAGTGATGCTAAGAAGACGGTGTTTAGTTATCTCTGTTCTCCCAAAGAAGTAGAAACCGGAAAGCGATAGTTCCAATCTCCATGACAACGGTTGATTCCAAAAGGGCACTTTAAGATACTGGTTGGGATGACGAAGAGTTGTAGAACTAGACCACTAAAATTTAACTAGCCCTCAGAGTAAGTGGTTTAAATCATAATGAATCCTTACAAAAAGCGAGTGCATTTCTTCAACAACGAAATCACATAACCTGGCAGTCTACATTTCCTCCATTAGTTCCCCTATTACACTTACTAATTCTGACGTATTTTACTCTGTTATACATCATCTGATAACCAAGAGTAAAACAGAGCTTTGAAATTGACTACTAGTATAAAAAATTTATGGTTACTGGGGGTTACAAGAAACTTTTGACTACTAACAAACATAAGATAGTCCAGCTCCCAATTTTTTCGTTTCGTCTTTTTGTCGAATGGCATAAAACAGACCAGTGAGTTACTAGCGTGAATACAATAATCCCAGTATTATGATTCCATGAAAGAATAATATAGTTCATACGTCGTCATATTTTAATGGCATTAATAATAAGGATAAAGATTCTCCAACGCTAATATGATAATGATAATTTGATAATTTACTAGACAGATTCGTGAGACTAGTTTAAACATGAACAAAATAGCGATAACATTTAACGATATTTGTGTGTGCGTTTAATCTCTGAACTGGTTTTGCTACGTGCGTTGAATTCTGAATTGAGATTTGTGCCCTGTTTTTCGTTTAGGGTACGTTGAATAAACTTGCTAAATCAATGAGTTTGAAAGCTGCTTTGTTGACGCAGTTGTAGCTGCATTAAATTCGAAGTAGGACCCACCATTTTAGTAGCTCTAAACCAGAATCTTATGCTTAGGAATGAGTAAATAAGCTCTGAAATAAATCTCCCATTCATTTCTCGAAAATCATACTTAGAAGAACCTCGTTTGTGCAACGGCGTTAATTAGAAGGCAAATATGGATTTGGTTGGGTGAATTTATTTCAGGAAATCGTTTTTGCGGAGAGACAAAAGAGTACAATGCCTAATAGCACATTTAAGCGGTATGGAGAAGTCAATCAAGCTAACTTAATGTAATGAGGCATAACTAAGCATTTGTAGTCACAAAAAATAAGCTGGGTTGGCAAAAGGTGAAGTGTCAAACATATACTAGAATAAAAACAACCAAGATAAGAGCGAAGAATTGGCAAGGCCTGAAGACGTGTGAACAACAACTCCAGTAGAATGGGCTATTCAAATTGTCTGAAGACTTGCAGCAAGCACTGATGACTTGATAGAAAAGCAGAAAGTCGTACAGTTACTTGAAAAAATGTCAGTTTTCGAAAATAATATTGAAGAAGTATGTGGTTAAGTAGCGGAAAAACATATTATTTGAGACAGAGTACAATGGTACAATCAGGGTCAGTGTATGATACGAAAGAGCCAGATCAACTAAACAAAATGTGTGAATGTCATACAGACATGAACACAAATGTAAATGACGGCATGTGATTATGCGTAACTTCTGTCCAGTAAAACTTTAGTGTCCACACAGTTCCGATACCCGGATGTAATAGAAGATTTTAATAATAAGGCAACTCTCGTATATATAGATCGAATGAGACTACGTTAACCCTACCGGATGTTTCAAAACAGTTAAACTTAGCTGCTTATGTGTTTCGTTTCAAGAGTTATAATGACCGTTGGTAACGAATAGCTAACCATAACGAACAACACGTATCACCAGTGACTCATCATGTAGGTATATAGAATAGCACAGCGATTATTACAAATTACGATCCCATCCGAATAACTTTTATGCGCTTTTTCTGTGCTTACTGAGTGATTGAACAAGCATTTGCGAGGAGCCAGTGAGTGTGTGCTAACCTAAAACAATGTTAATATACTAACAGTTTGTAACTGTAACTGTACTCAGATATTCCATTCAAATATCGACCAAGGGAATGATAATCCGAAATGTACAGGTTCATCAAAGTGTATATGAAGAATAACTTACGAAATTGCCGATCTCATATAAATCTGGAACATTTGAAATGTACCTACCTGTGGGCTATGAAAAATATTTTTTAGGGTTTGTATAATTATTTAGTTATCGAGATCACAGACTATGAATGGTATTTCCAGAACTTTTGTTTTAGTACTTCAGATAGTCATGTGATCATGACAAATATCTGGTCCTTTTATAAATTATGCGCAGTATGTCGTAAAATGACAGCATAGAAAGTTCAGAGTTTTAAGTAACAGGGATGAATCCAGAAGAGCCCATAGAAGATGACTACGCAAAAAATTACAGATCACGCTTTACACTTGACAAGACAGATAGCAAAAAACATAAAGGAATAAAATGCTGTGGTCATAATACTTGTCATTTAGATCGATACAATCTCATTAGCAATGTGAAACCATTCACAGCAAGACCATATACTTTGTACAAAATTGTTTTGACAACGGCTGATGTTCCTGGTGCTGGTACATCGGCTCAGGTATTGAAACTCTATATTTTAATTTGTGAAGATATACATAACACTCAAAGGAGAATGGGGATCATCCACTCGTCAAAAGCTTATAAAGGAAAAATTTGCAACTAGGCATCCTCCTTTTTGTCTTTATCCTGGTTCGACATCCACTTTTTCAGTAGTTTCTCCAGATTTAGGAGGTATTCAGTCTGTATTTATTGAGGTAATGTAATCTAAAGTTTCTTCATAAATACCTATATGATGTTTATACTCGTATTTATCGAAATTTTTTCAGTATGAACAAGTGATCGGATCATTTGTTTGTCAAATAAAATATTTATCATCCAAGTTCTGATATGCTTACCCGAATCTTTCTTCAAAGATTCCCATTTATTCATAAAGAACATTTACGGTCATATAGCTGAAAATTGTAGCTACTTCCGCTGATGAAATAATCAGGTACCCCTAGAAAAGCACAAGCAGTGCAAATGGACGTGAATTCGTCTAGACGAACAGAATTCTAGAGGAAATAAACAGGATGACTAACGTTAAAAATGAGATATGATTAAGGTAGGAAGCTTCAGTCTACTGCCACTGTGCAGAAATTATACACTGTTACTTATATTATAAGTATTTCTGGCGTATATTGAGACTAATTGTTCTTAACTTTTGGAAAAAATTGGTCGATTATTTGAAACCCACCTCTTATTCTTTATATGCATTATAACTACGAAGTCAGCCTAGCTTGACTTAACTATCGGAGCGTAATACATTGGAAAAATATGTAGCCAAACAGTGCATTCATCATAAATATGTCTCAGAGTTTGCTTTAAGATGTCAACTGAGACTAATGCGACTCGATACCGAAAAAATCTCCAAAATATTTATCTCATTTTTAATAGGTACTTGCATAGTAATATAAAAATTTAGGTGGTATGATGTAAAGGAGCCTATATATTCATCAAAAAGCAACTACAGGGAATAGAAAAGTGTGGACTATCGGATATAATATAGGCTCGGAGGGATAAGATCTAAGGGAGCTAAAAGTTAACCATTTGAAAAAGATTTCTATTAGCAAAGCGTATTTACAAAATAAATATGGCTCTTAAGTCGTTGGAAGACACAGCCATAATACAGAATTATGATAATTACACTTTCCATATGACAAGCATTTTATTAGAAAAACATGAGTAAGTCTAACGCTGAACCCAGAGTTACAAATATGTTTCATCCAGTAATGACTTTAGGTCTCTGTATATTTAGAAGCAAAGTGGATGCGTGCTATTAATAAAATGTGGGAATTAAACTATCGATTCACTAAACTTTAACCAGAAACTTATATGGACGTATAATTCTGTCTAAGCATTAAACTTAACTTATTTAACTGTTTGGGACCAAACTGTAACGTCAGTTTAATGCTAGGAAAATCCAAATTATTGACTTGCTGATTTTGCTCAATTTGTTCGATAAATAAGCGACGAATTACCATTTTTTACATATGAACAGATACAAAACACTTCCATCTTAAAGCTACTCAACTAACGAGAACTAGCATATGTTTACTCTATAGCCAAACTACATAAATGTTAAAGCTAAACTTGAATCTAATGATTTGCTACATTTTCAGAAGTATAAATTTCTAGAGAACTAATTTGTGGCAAACACTTGTGAAACTTCGCAGTTAAAATTTGACTGGGGTTACTAGGACACATATAATTTTGTATGTACTTTGCTTTACTGATGAAAACGTCTCCGATAGGCTTAGTAGTATTGCCAAATATTCACTCGATTTTAGGGTGTGCGAGTCTCTGTCACTTACTCCAATTTCTATTAACAAGAAACTACCGCCTATTTGTAAACACTCTGGCTTGTAATGGAACGTCATGTAGTATCAGATGACAGTGGTATAGTTGAAAGGTACTAAGCTGAATATAGAAACATTATTATCGATGTGCACCTTGAAAATATTCTACATACTTTGTGTCAGCAGAATCTGAGCGACTGAAAGTTATATGGGTTGTCAGTATACAAACCAGTTTATTAGAAAATATCCTGTCAGTATATATATTCTTGTAATAATGAATAATCTTATTTTTAATGAGTTTGTCAAAACGATCCACAAATGGGTCTTTCGTTTTACTAATCGGCCGTTCGAGTGAACAGGAAAGAAATTACGGTTTCGCTTTTCTAACTGAGCAATGGGTTTATGAAGTTTTATTAATCGCACCTATCATTGTTCACAGACTTAAGTTTACCAACGTATTTTACTCAGATTTCAGTATTTCACTTATGTTCAAAGTAACTTTCGCTGTATTCATTCCTTATTTTTGCATGTTAGCATGACAGTTTGAGGAAAACTGATAGCTGGCTTTTGGAAAGTGTACAAGTCTTCCATCCTCTCACAAAAAAGCGTTACATGTTTTTATGTAACCACTGGTTTTCACTGTATAAAGAAGACGGACTCATAGCACGTGAATTATTTGGGATAAGGAGCGCAAAAACAAGTAGATCGTGATATAAAATAATTCAATAATGCCGTTCATCATTTCATCAAATTTTAGAATACTCAATTGTAACTGTAACTGGAGATCAGGAGGGTTCTGGAACAAATAGCAAAGTATATATTACGATTTATGGAAGAACTGGAATTACTCCCCGAATAGAATTAAGCCAAGAAAATAAAAGCACAGGAAAAGAAATCTTATGTGCGCCCTTTGGACGTGGTACAAGTTCAAAATTTATTGTCAAAGCTCCAAATGTTGGTGCTATTACAAATATTCGTATCAAGCAAGATGAATCCGGAAATGAACCCCATTGGTTTTTAGAACGTGTTGTAGTGACTGATATGTCATATCCTCAGTGGACCTATTACTTTCATTTTGGATGTTGGCTGTCTAGCAAATATGGTGACGGTAAATCGAGCAGACTTGTTCGAGGTTACAGGGAACCTACTGGAACAGGTATTGGTAAGTTGCGTTTGCAGAAAACCAACACGATGTTTTACATTTCGACTAAAAACGTCTGTTTATTATAGGTAGAGTTTCGCTCCCATAAGTTAAATACGTTGATCAAGATAGGTATTTTCCTTTTAGGATATTATAGTCGAACTCACTGGGTGAACACATTCAACTCACGAGGTATTACTCTGAGAGGATATATGTGTGTATATTGACCCAAACAACCCAACATAAGAGTTAGAAAGTTTACGAAACAGCTATTAGATATTTAAAAGTCATCATATTTATTGAAAAATGATAAACAACGTGATAATGCGGTTTTAGTGAAATTTTATTATTAGCTACATATTTTGTTTTGAGAGTTCACCATTGGTGATCCAGAAGTTGCTAATTTGAGGGAACGCATACTCTAGTGTTAAGTCATCATCGAATCCAAATAAATTTCAATAAAAGCTAATAGACAACAAGAGATAGATGCATTTTTATCTTGTTATGGTTTGTGAATCATCATAAGATTATACATAGAACTCCATTCGGAATCAATGTCAGGTTAGAATTTTAACCTCAAACATCTGAATCGGAATCTATACATCCATCTTTTGTGAGTTCCATTGAGCAATTGGATAACAGATCGGGAAAAAGTTCAATGTTTTAGTTATCTTTACTTTACTTTTTAAAACTATCAATGTGAATTTATAAATTTTCATTGTGAGAGCTTCAGCTGCAATCAGTAGGAACAAATGTTAATCAAAAACTTGAACCGACTAGCTGTCTTTGGTATTAAGGATACGGTTTCCTTGCTAAATTTTAAAAGTGAGGTGATCAGCGTCAATATTTCTTTGTTAAAAACTTATTTGAGTAATGATACTATTTAGATGTCTTCATGTGCTTAGTGTCTTTTGTTGATTATTGAGTTAAAATTGATAGTCGCATCACTAACACTACAGGTAAATGAGATTTGTATTGCAAACCTTACTACTTACTGTAAACGTTAATATGACATTTACTAAATTAAAATAGATATTCTATGTTTTAAAAAGTTGGTCTTTAAACACCTTCCTAATAAAGCCACAGATTTACCAAAGCTATCAAAGTCAACATCTGAAAACTTTAATGTTTAGATATGTTTTCTAATGACAAACTAATATTTGAAAAAGTTATATAATAAAACGGATTTCTAAAGAAAATGTCAACATCTGAAATCAAACATGATTTCTGACAACATTTTTATAATTGTTTCAGAAACAGAATACAAACTGACATTTTATACATCTGACAAAAAAGATGCTGGAACAACGGGTGAAGTATATGTTAAACTATATGGTGAAAAAGATTCCAGCAGAGAAATATGGGTCAATTCTATACAGCATGCAACTGGAGAACAACCAACACATTATCATTTTACTCGTGGATCAATTGTGGAAGTTTACTTACCACCATGTCCCCAGTTAGGTGAGATAATTAAACTTAAAGTTGGACATACTAAAGATGGTTCATCCCCTTCGTGGTTACTAAACAAGGTAAGTTGTTAAAAATGATACGTGGTATTTTATATGTATCAATTATCTATTGAAAGATTCCTCAGTAAACAGTTGTAGTATATAAAAAAATATTTGTTTACGTTTTCTGAATCAGTTAGGATACTTTTGCGAAATTCTAATTTTTAAGTGTAATGTATCCAGAAATTCAACATTTTTAGGAAGTTTTCAGGCAAATCATTCGTTAACTTACTTAAACAGATGCACATATTATTTCGTAAAATCAGTTCACTTCAATTTATTTCATATTTTGAAGGAATACATTTCTGTCAGTTATACGTTCATCAAAAGCTGGTTTTGTCGATTTAGTATGTTCTTAACGCTATACTACGTTCAAATGTTCACGTTATAGCAGTTCACTGAGATTATATCGAAATGTAAATCATCCTCAGTTGAAATAAATCCAACACAATGATCATTTTACAGTTAATTTGTGCATATGTAATTGTATGCCCTTAACTTTATTCTGACTGTTATATTTTAAGGTAATTGTAGATGATCTAAGAATGAATCGTGTGTTTGAATTTCCTTGTTTCGCATGGATCACAGAACCCAGTGAAACGATCATTTTTTGTGAAAAGTCAATTAAGAAAGAAGCAAAGGAAATTATTTGGCAGAGTAAGTTAATTACGACTTTTGAGAACATATGCATATATATATTCTGTTAGTATTGGACAGTTTAAAATGTCTCCACATTTAACCTTTTGTCATTATAGGGTTGTAGAGATTGTGGAGTTTCATTGAAATCATGAATCTATCAGTGTTAAACCATTATTAAAAACCTAGAAGTGTCAGACGGTTGTTACTTTCTCGTATGGAAACCACCAGAAGAAGACCACTGCGACGGTCACCAACGCTGTCACTACCTTTGGTTCAGTTTCCGCTTGTGGGGTCAAGAACGCGCAACGCTGATGCATCTAACATTAGTCGATTCATCTTGTCAATGCAATCTTTTGTTTATCTAGTCAAATCGCAGTTGATTATAGCAGAATGGTGTTTGATTACGGTTTAGAAACGTTATAAACTTATTTTAGTTCTAAAATTATTGTCACTTAGCTCCAGGTGATTTTAATTCGAAATTACACCTATCTCTTTTCAATAAGCTTTCTACCCACAACAAAACTTAAGTTCAGTGCATTTAATAATATTGATGAAAGTAAGCGTCAGACTATTGGTTTGGTGTAACGTTACCTTACATAGCATAAGTAAACTAAGAGTTTCAAACTTCATTACAAGAAACGGAATAACAGATTTTATGAGGTACGAGAAAAATTTATCTCTTTAAAAGTACTCATTAAACTAAGTTTACGTTTGAATAAAAGATGCAGTTGTCATAGAAAAAAGCAAATGATATAATATTATTGATTAGTGATCTGGATTTTTATGAAATTGATATAAAATTACTTATGTATATCATAAATGAAAGACTATGGCAAACTTAACCTAGTCAGTTTTCAAATAGCACATCATAGTGGCTAAGAAGCGAACTGGTTTTGATGCGAAAAGTTACATTAATAACAAATCTTACTATTATTGTGTGTAAAGTTTTCTCGTTAATCAGGCTTCATGTATTTTATATAGTGGTAACAGTTTTCTGGAATAATATATTCGTTCAAGAAAGGAGATAATTTTAATGTACTGGATTTAAAATGTTCTTTTCTGGAAAATTATTTCCCAGTTTGATCGCATGTTTAAGAAATTTCATGAAAACACGTAGCCAACTTACTCTTTCATTGAATTTTAAACGATCTGATTTTTTCAATTTTTTACCAATGTAACAGAGATACCATTAGAAGTCCGCTTGTACACAGGTGATGTACCCAATGCAGGGACGACTGCTCGAGTTTATCTTCGATTAAGTGGTCCTGAAAAAATAACCATTAGCAAACCCCCTTATTTAAATTATCAAACAACTAACACTACTGCACAAAAGGAATCTGACATCAGACTGGATCATAAAGAACAGAAAACCACAGCTGAAGACAAAGATGATGTATATACAACTTCATACATATGGCTGGAAAATGGAAATTATCAAAGAAATGGTGTTGCATTATTTTCTCTTGATTTGCCAGTACCAAAGTTTATCAGTCCTCTATCTCAGCTGGTAATAGGACATGACAATACTGGTCATTCACCAGCTTGGTTTCTTGATAAGGTAGTTTAATATATCAAAGTGAGATTTCATTATAAATAAAACTCTCAATAACAACCTGAGGTTATTTTACATCGCTTTCCATCACAACACAGTTTTCAGTCCAACCATTTGACCACAGTCGGTTATATTATCGTAAAAATGTGTCATAGCAATACGAAATGAAGAAGTGGGTTCTATAATCTGTAGTATAGTTTCCTTACTTAGAATGTTGATTGTTGAAACATTTGCTTATTGTAATCGAATAATTTCAGTGGTTAGTTCATAAAACAATAAGATCTTGATTAGTTGTTTTATAGTGTCATACCCTAAAAAAAACAGTTTAACTAAGTGACGGTATGAAAACTACTCGGTTAGGTAAACTAAAAGATGATAATTTTATGAACATAAGTGTAGTTGTTTTCTTATTATGATTTGTAATTAATTTATGGCAGTTTCTGCCAGAACAACATGACTATAACTGTTCAGTGTTAATAAATATGAACCTAAATCACTAATCGGGTAACAACTTTACTTGGATTAAATAATAGGAAAATCAGAGAGAATAGACCATCTTGAATTACCACCTAAAACAGTGTTTTTGCCATAAATTAGCGACTGTTATTTCGGCAGTTGTCTCCAGTTGTTGAAAATAAACAATCTAGACCCCTTTACAATTTCTACATGCAATAATATTTTATAATTCTGAGAAGAAATGTGAAATGTTTTCACTGAAACTGTAGTCACTTTATACCGAAGAGTAGTTCATTTGGAATAGGGTTTCATGTAACATTAACCATCGAACCTGATCATTCAAGCCAGATAATTAAATCGCTAGTGGTATTTTGCAATTGAAAGTGATAATCACCAGTATATTCGTTGCATTTATGTCTTTCTAGAATGATGAATTCATTAAAGACTGAAATAATTGTTTTAATGATTTTATATATTTACATGTGAAGGTTCAAATCTATTGTCCATTGAATGGAGTTGAACAAACTTTCCTGTATCGTAAATGGTTAACAAGTAACAAACCAAACATGAAGGCTGAACAGATATTATATGAAGACAAATCTTTAAGAAAATGTACTGATAAAAGTAAGTTTGCAATTACTGGAAAAATTATAGTCTCAGTAGTGTAATGAGAACTTTTTATTTCAAAGAGAACTCTCCACTGATTCAATACCATTTACTTGTATTTCTTGTTGTAAGTAATACTATTTATATTATTTCAACGTTGGTTAATACATAAGATGATTAATGTATACTTTAGAAAGTTCAACGAACAGCTAATTCATTTCTACCTGTTAAGTTGAATCACGAGTTAGAACAAATATACATTTTCAATAGAAAAACTAGAATCAACGTTTTCAAGAAGTAAAACATGAAGTAACGTTTATCCCGCCAAAAGTTAGAAAACGATATGCTGAGTATTAGTTTCTTGCGTACACTCTTTAGAATAAGACAATTACCTCCAAGATTCAATCTACATTACAGTTTATTTCATATGCATATATATATATATATATATATATATATATATATATATATATATTTTCTGTCAATCATTAGAAGTACCATGGGAAATTTCAGTAAAAACCAGCCCAATAACTAATAGTTACGTGACAGCTGCAGTCAGCATTATTATATTTGGTACCAAAGATAAAACTACGAAAATTCAGTTGGATCGTTCAAATTTAGAAGTATCCTCCGAGTGGACTAAGATATCAAAGAATGAAGTAATTGAAATGTTCAAGCCAAACGTCGAGTCGAAATTTCGTATTTATATTAAAGATATTGGTATACCTTGTAAACTAAGAGTTGCACATGATAATAAAGGTTCAAATCCAAACTGGCATCTTGAAGAGGTAACCAATTACTTTTCAATCTATTTTTCTATTATATTCATGATTCGAATCTTTTAAGAAACGATTAGTTAAACTCATCAATATTTACTGATAATATAATTATCCAACTACCACAGTAAATCAAACAACCTAACTGCCAATTTTCTCTCACAGGATACATTCTTATTGGTAATCCTCATTTATGCGGTTAACTATATTTTTTAGTAGTTTATTATTTATGTAATCACTAAACGTTTCTAATTATGAAGACTTGGATTCTGTTATTTTTAAAACTCATCCAAGTTTCCACATTGGAATACATGTTTGCTAACATTCTAACTATTTAAAAATTAAGTGGATCTATTTTTACTCTAGTCAGATGAAAGCATACGTAGGGTATATAGAACACTATCTTTACTTCTAAATTATCAAAAATCACATGATGGAATACCTATTTTGTCACAGTTGAGTGAAAAGTGAATTGTGTGTATAGTATGTGATAAATGAAGAAGCATTTATTTCCAAAAGTTATTCACCAAATAGTATAATTTCGAATCCATACCAGTAGGATTACTCTTTGATCATCACATCGAAATCAAGATTGGTTCGGGAAGTAGTAGATTAGGTATTACAATAATCTGTATCATTTAAAGATCTCGGTTGTTAGTCGTTAATGTTTAATGACGTAGACAACATCTTTGAAGCTCATCCTTGCTCTTATTCTGAAATGGAATTCTTCATAAATAAACAAGTTAGACTAGTAGAAACGCGATTGTAAGTTATTTCGAATTCAAATTTCGCAGTAAGATGAAGATTATCAGAACCATGTGATATATTAGAGCAATGCATTTCGAACACTGATCAAACATAATTTTTTTGTTGATATATATTTCATATATAAATGTCTTTAAAAATTATATGCGTGATTAGATTGTTCGAAATGTTTTGTGGTAATATATAACATAAACCTGATAATTTTCGTCTTACAACACTTCCCACATTCATCAAGCGAACCAATTGCTTTATATTTCGAATCACTTATTCAAAAGTTAGATACAATCAACTGGTGATATCATATTAACTTCATGAAGCTTCTCCAAAAGAAAGATAAATTACATCGTTTTTCCTGAGGATATGAACCGTTTAATGAAATAAATCAATATTTTCCACATCGACTTACCTAACGTAGTAAGACGGAACACAATAGCTTATTTTGTCTTTATTACGTTATTTTTAAAACCGCCTAAATGTGGGTTTTAAGTGGAAAATGTAATTGAATATAAAAATTTTAAAGAAATTTCAAACGCTCAAAATGCAACAGAAAGGTGACATGATGATGTGCTGTATCATCAAGTGTGCAGGCAACTTCTCTGGATAACATTAACAGACAAAAGCATAAATGGATAAGTATCTAAGATACTGTATTGTTAATTTTATATTTAAGGTATTCAAAGTTCTTTTGTGTTCAAAAATGTTTTAATATTTATCCTTATTTTTTGTACCAACCTAGATTCTTTTAACTAATCTTAGTACTCACGAGCAATATAATTTCTATTGCAATCGTTGGTTAAGTACTCGTGAAGACGATGGGTCTATTTTGCGAGATATCCCAGCTAAAGGCCCTGGAATAACTAATCCTCTATCACGTGAGTCGTGTGCAATAATTTTATGATGTTAAGTGTGATTCCAGTGTAAAACAACGATCTTCATAAAACAATAATGCAGAAAAGATGTTAAATGTCTTATATGGTCTTATTAACTGATATCTGATAACTACTAGATTAGAAGTACGCAGATGTGTATCTGATATGTGTCTAAGTTGCACTTTTTTATACAATCCTCACCACAAAATATGTTTCAACACATTTACGTATGTTCATCACTGCAAAGTCTTCAGCGGCAACAACAGAAAAACACAAACCCTAGCTAAACATTACTACCGTATATGCGTTTGCTGCTGATAGCTTCGAGCTTCAATGATGAATATAACTATTCGAAAGACTAGTGTTCATTTTAAAATCAGACATGAATTTCGGACATCTTCAGCAATATGTCTGAAAATGATATCTCAACCATAGAATATATTAGTTTACATAACACATTCCTGTTTCTAAAAAACAATTGCGACTAACTGAATTTTTATCCCACTGATCAAAATACTATACCATTTTCTACTTTGTATCCAGTTTACTATAAGAAAAAAACCGCGTAAACTATTCTATTTATTTTTTACTTACTGCTGTTGACATTACGGTTTCGTCTGCTACTGTAATAAGTACCCATGATTTTTATCCTACTGATTATCACTTAATTATCCTAACCTTCATGAGTCTCATAAAGCTCTAATGAACTTCTTTCTTCGTGAGCTACCAATAATAAAATGAAATAACATCAATAACAAAGCCAACATCCAGAAACTGTTTCCAAAACGAAATAGTTACAATTTTATATGATGATTTGCGTCACCAGTGTCCGGTGAGATGAAGAATAAATTTTTCGTTCATAACTAATCAGAAACTCATACAAAAATTAAAGCAATTATGTGTGGTTCATGCAAATTTTCTTTGAATAAAAATATTGGGAAAATCTCTAAATAATCACTACATGAGGCTTACATTATGCTTATGCAAGGAACTTCATTATTCTTTGATATCACATATTCGATGATAAAATTAAGCTTAGAACAACACATATAGGCCAACAATGTCGTTTTCGATTAGATCGTTATCAAGCTTTACTCTAATATACATGAATATGGATATGAAAATGTTAAACCAATCAAGGCAATTTGAGTCAATAATCATAATGAATTGAAATAGATTACGCCACTACACATAATAGACAGGTTCCACTGATTCTTTTAAGTCTATCTGTCTACGTCTGACCTACTACTAATAAAACTTTTGCTATCGTATTTTGATTTTCTTACAACTATATATAATCCAAAAAGGGTATTGTTCTTTTATAAGTGTTGTTCTAATTTTCGCGATGGGGATCTTTAATATTCTTGAAATTAAGTTTATCATAGCAGTGGGTCACACGTAATAAATCGCTGCCTAAAAAAAGACATACACACATTACTCTTTCGTTTTTTACAGTAAGCTTGTTCAAAACTGTCTGTTTTGCAGTTAAAAAAAGACTGGATCCGTAATTTATTTGAAAAATTTTGTGATTAAAAAGTGTTATTGTTCATCATATAAAACTTACATAAAATTACTTTTGTTTTATGATTGATTAATTGTTGCAGTTTATCATTACATCATTCAAATATTTACTGGGAATAAACCAAACTCCGGTACCAATGCAAATATTTTCATAAATATATTCGGTGATAAAGGTGACAGTGGCGAAAGATGGCTAAGACGATCAGTTAATAAAAATTCAAAGTTATTTGAACAAAATCAAGTGAGTGTAAAGTATTTACAGTAATAAGAAGATTTGTTGGTTGAAATGAAATAGCTTATAGGGAGGGCTTTTTAATTTGATTTTCACTATATGATTGAATGGTGAATATAATAACCAGTTAAACAGTGTTATGAAGATAATTTTCAATTAAAAAGTGACATCAGCCTAAGAATTACTGACTATGACGTACAAATCTTTAGTCCCTGTTTGATACTTTGTAGTAGGATTCATTTCATACTCAATGCAGGACAAAATTCACTGTTCTTTGGTTCTTGAAAATAAAACAGCAGTTGTTAAGCATTTAGTTGGAATCCTGCAATTTATATTATTGTAATAAGTAAATTTAGTTTTTAGTGTCACAGGCGTCTACTCTTATCGGCATATAATTATTCCATTCCTGATGTAGCTGACTTAATTAATCATGGATTTCAACATAAACTTCAACTAATCTTTCTGAAAGCTTGTTCACAGTGCTCATTCAATTATCTAATCAGGTAGTTTTAAGAGATCATTAGAGTATGCTGTAAGTAATCTAATTAAATTAATGATCAGAGATATCCGGTTTACATTCGTTCCTAATCTGATGTCAGTACTCTATTAAAATCATCATTCTTGAAATACAGAAACAATCCTGAATTATTTGACTACTATGAACGAAATACGTCTGAGAAATGGTTCTATATATGAAAAGTTTTCTAGTGTTATAATGAAAATTTAAGAGCGGTTATAAATATAGACATTTTAGATGAGTATCTAACATTATTATATCTACATCATCATCAGATATGTAAGGAATTCCAAAAAAACTTCCTTTTCAGAATACTATAAATGTTAGCTATTAGTTGATATTACTCAAAGTCACAAATACTCATGATGAAAAACTCGATTGTCATTTCCTTGTATAATATAGTATTTCAACCAGTTGCTATTTGTGAATTCATGCTTCTTTTCACGTACATTCCAATCCATTGTATATATTGTGATGTCAAGAAGTTAGGAAAAACAAAGGCTGCTAATAATTTGCTTTTAAGAACAATATACCATTTTACGAATAATAAAGATTTACTGCACAAACTACTAATAAATTAATCGGCTTATTTCCTGTTGTTTTATTCACCTGTCAATATTTTTGGAAAGATGGATGAGTTTGTAATTGAAGCAGTTCAACTGGGTCCCATCACCAAAGTTTGCATTGGTCATGAAGAAAGAACACCTGGATGTGGTTGGTATTTGGCGAAAATTGTATTAACCATCAAAGAAAACCCTAAATATAAGCTTACATTTGAATGTTATCGGTGAGTGAATAGCAGATGAATCATATGTAAAACAATTTATCCATTGTTAGGTTTTGTGTAGTGAAAGGTTCTTCAATTGGTTAGAAAAGCTTTTTCTTTAAAAAAAACATTCGGACATCATATTTTTTGCTGTAAATTAACTTACCATATTAATTAATATTTGAAAGTACTTACTATAAACGAATAATTTTCAGTTTTATTAGCACACACAAATGTTGTATATCAGTCTTAATCGAACAAAAGGTTTAGATTTTCTGATGAAATTTCCGAGAAAAATCACCGTTGTATACTTTGGTTATGTCATTACAAGAGAAAATTTGTTGAGGTGACAACAGATTATTTCATTTTTGCTATTGTATACATAAGGTTTCTTGATATCCTGGTCATCAAATTTTTCATTTTTTAATATTTTCCTGTTGTTACATAATGATTTACATTGTTAGCCTTGTAAACAGCCTTTCCTCAAGGTCGAAGTCATTTGGCAAACTGACACACACTAGAAAAAAATATTTGAATGCAAGTTTGGTTAAGCTCTAAATGGCTAAATAACTGGTTGCTCAAAGCGATCAAGCACAGTAACCTACTACTAACACATTCATCTTTAAACCATTAGGTTTTTAATCATTACAAAGAAAGCATTAGAAACGAACAATTCACTGATATACCAAAGTAAAACGGAACAAATTTGTTGTTCTCAGTAACTGTTAATTTATTTTTCAATGAAAACATTTTCTCATCATGCTAACTGTTATTTAATTTATCGTTTAGTGCAATCTTTGTTTTAAAAAAATGAAGAATTTTTCCAAATAATTATTTTCAAAGTGCTAAGCAAATCGGATAAACCTGATTTTTTATTCATAACTATTGTTTAGGTTTGAGGGTAACTAAGGATATGAGATGTTCACCATAATTGTATTCCTTCCAGAAAGTTTACTATAAATGTCAAAGTCAATCAAGCAAGTTAGCTTACTGAATTAAGAAAGTTCAGGACGAACAATAACAAATTTAGATAATAACGAAAATATTTTTTTCAAGTCATCTCATGTGGATTTTATGCAATTTATCATAATATTTTCGCTCATCGCTTTGAGCACAATACAATATACTTCAATTTATTTATCAACAATTTTTCACAAATTTTGAGCATAAATTGTAAACACAGAATGATGTGAAACTGAATGCGCTTTACAGACACTATAGGTTATAATAATACAATTACCTGGAGAAATATCTCTCTTTTATTAAAAGTGTAATTTATGAATTTACTTTTATTTATTCCTCTGATACAACCAGACATACTAAATGATCTTTTCAGCTATATTCCCTTATAGAAGATGTAAAATATCAGTCTACTTGCTAGTTGGCTACATTATATATGGGATAACATATTTTGCAAATATTCTTATGATAGTCCACATACTGTCCGTAATAAGCCGTTGCGAAACTCGCACTTGTTCATCAACTATCAGCATGGCAATTTATTAAAGTAACATTTCGTTGCAAATTAATCTGTTTGGAAATTTCATAGAAATCACTATTACACTTGTTAAAATAACCATAAGGTAGAATATTCATCATCACAGTTAAAAACTTAAATTCGTAAAATCGAATTATTTCCCAGTGATCTAAAGATATTCATTAAACTTAGGTAAAGTGGTCCAGATACTTCATTGATATATTTAACTGAATAGCTTTTAGTGTAGTGTAAATATTCACTTAGTTGAACACCATTCAAGCAAACATTATTTTGAACCCTAATGTTTTCGGATCTTTTTCAGATGGTTTGATGTCGGAGAAGACGATGGACAGATTGTTCGTGAACTGATTGCTCATAGTTCATTAAGTGGTAATGTAGCTTTTTCGATTTAATGAAGCATAAAATTGCTTCATTTATGGTTTAAGTAAATATTTCTTATCAAATTAAATGAGCAAAAATCCATGGGACTTTTATCGATCGTCTCATCTCAAATAACATATCTATGGATAATAACTTAGCCTAATAAATCGTATGAAATACAGTGGATAAAAATAACAATCAAAGAAATAAACAACGAAGAAATTGTTCACCTTAAATGGATTTCATTTTAAAGTTGATAACCTTTTCTGATGATATCTTTTGCCAGTTGTTTATCACGGATCGGGATGTAAAGAATTATCAAAGCCATATCTATGGGTTACGATTTCTTATTATCATATTAATTTGTTTTACTTCAGTAAACAAGCATTTGGAAAAGAAAACTAACTGATTAATTATGTAACAAAATCAATCAATAATTTTAGCTATATGCCAGATTAGTTATTCGAAATTAGTGTATGTATTTTATGTTCTACTACTGATAAGTAGCTAAAACACGATAATTGTCAGAGAACTATAAAATGTTTATAGGGTTGATTATTTATTTATATATCAACGAATTGTTAAACTTTTAGAAAAAAAACTTTTAAAACATAGAAACACGTCTCGAAACCAATGTCAGATGATTGAAACAAATAACTTATTAGTAAAACACATAACTTCTTTTATCAAGCAGATGCTCTCACTGTTGAAAATTAATTGGCTTTTCAGTTCCGATTAGTATGAGATCTGAGTGGAATAAACTACGTAAATCCTTCACCACAAATGCGTAAACAAGAAATTTACTTTATTGAAAAAACTATACTTTTAAGTTGGTAGTTCAGCAAATTCTAGGTTTACCAATGAATCTTAACCGTTTTCATTTTAAATAACATCAAACGATTTTTTAAAAAAAATTTCCGATTCTTTTTATTAGAAAGGTATATACATAATAAAGTGTGACTAATAAATAAGTATCATTTGTAAATAGATCTGTGGCTGTTTATTGATGTGATAAAGTAAGTTGTATTACAGTTATTCACCTCAGATCTGTATATTAAGAGTAACTATAGTTACTGCTATTTACAATAAATTAAAATAAAATAACTACTGTTTCATAAACTTCCGACCTATGAATGAATCGATGATGATGATAATTTATAACAACACAAGTTGAATGAACGCTTTTATGGACAAGTATAAGTTATCATTATGTATCAAATGCAGCATCTCATTTTATAGGAAAGTCTTTAAGAGATTTCTTTTGCATAAGTTCAGTTTTATACAGTAAAGAAAAAATTAAAATTTTGGTTGTAGAAGGAAGTAGGTAGGTCCAAAGGTTTGTTTTTCACAAACAAGTAGTCTTAGTAGAAACTGGTAGTTTGAGCTTAAATAAATATGTTAAACTGTGCTACAATATCTTGAAAGGTATACATCACAATTGTTTGAACAGTTTCGAAGGATAACGCAGTGAAGTACATCCTTTAAAATGAAATATACCTAGTTAGTAGTCTGAAAATATCTAACAACAGAAAGTAGCTTGTGGTTACTCTGGACCATGATAAGTATCACAAAGTTTTATAGCCCACTAATAATATAGTTCTAAAGAAAAAGATTTCTTATGAGTATTTGCTTAGAAGTTCAGTTTCTCAGAAAGTCACATTCTTCCAAAACATCAATAATCTAAAAAGCATTATTTTTATTATTTTTTTGATGAAAATTTTTAAATAATGTTGATGTGACCATGGGATGAAAAACCACAGCACTAAAACGAGTCATTTTAAGCCTCATTGATGAACGACAATTAAAATTGTTCCATTCTCAAATACCTAGCATCCAAGACAGCAGCAAAAATATAAAGAAACGAAATCTGACATACATTCACAAAGGATTATAATATGGTGAATGGACCACTCTTTATATGTTTTTAGTCCTCTGCAAGTTAGAATAATATGATTTTCGAATGACCATTGTGCTGAAATAACCACTTTGCAAAAAAGAAATAAAGAATTAATTTTATTGAATGATCCTAATATTGTTGGTATTTTTTATCTATTAAACAAGCATTGTGTAAGTATCAGTGTCCTAGTATTACTGTTTTGTATAGAAAGTAAGTATAAAAGATTGATGAGGATCAGAAGTCTAAATTCTATTAAACATTTGGATTGGTTTAAAGCGAATAGCAAATTAAAGGATAGAAAATGTGTATCTTTTGTACCTTTTACAAAGCAAAACAGAAAAAGACTAGTTGAACTGTTATGCTATACTTTGTCCTATTCTGATTCAGATACACAAACTCCCTATATGCGTAATTAAACCAGCTACTTAGGTGAAGAAACCAGTAGTAAGCAAGGTGGTATATTGAATAATGGGATTGATAAATATATGTATACTCATTCATTTGAATAAATGACTACATACAATAAATAGCGTATGTCGTTTTCATTCGAATATGAAATAAAATCTTGACTAATCGCATGCGATTATCGTTTAGCCACAGTTTAACAGGCCAAGAGAATTACCATTTCCCTCAGAAAAAAATAGGTCAAGCTTTCTTGAGTTCAGTTACAGAAATTAGACTGGGTGTTGATCAATAGTGATAAATCTTTACTGATCCCTAAATCAAGTATAAAGATAACATATATTAATTAAGATCAAATAGAGTTAGAATCTTTGACTCAAAATCAAAACTTACACTGTACAATCAAGATTTATAAGATAACGAACAGTTAACCGAATGATTCATTTTCATCAAACTAATTCTACCAAACGTGATTTACCAATGATTTAACTTTAAAATGTTTAAAGAAAGATAATTTTTTTGCTTCTCATGTACGTTTTTCTTGATGCACAGCTATCGCATATAATGTAACAGTATTAACTGGTTCATGTCGAAATGCTGGGACTACGGCCAATGTTTTCGTTCATTTGTATGGATTACAAGGTGAAAGTAAAGATATGCAACTCAAACATAGAGATACAGAAATTACAAAGTTTGAAGCTGGAAAATCTGAAGAATTCATTTTGGCATGTGGAAAACTTGGTGAAGTAAGCTTTGTTTTTTATGCAAGGCTTGTAAGAAATGTTTTTTTTTTAATGTTCTGTAGTATATTTGTAATGATGAAAAAAAACTCGGCTATAATTCAAATACTAAACAATAAATAATGTAGTGTTAGTATGGCTTGCAAATTGGTTTATAGAGAATAATAGAAATTTTAAAACTACATTTTATAATCATAATTTTTTTGTGCTTTGCAAAATTCGAGAAATGAATAAATAAAATGTTTAAATTGGTTTTTTTAGATAAAGAAAATCAAAATTTGGCATGATAACATTGGCCCAGATTCAGGCTGGTTCTTAGATGAAGTGATTGTAATTGATTATTTTCTTGGACGTCATTATGTATTCCATGTAAATAGATGGTTAGCTAAAAATGAAGCTGATGGACTGCTAACATTAGAGCTACTGCCTACAAGTATCATTAGTATAGAAAGAAGTAAGATATGTTTATGTATCTTTTGTTACACATTAATTCTCTTTGTTGCGGCTTGATAATAAAATATTGTCTCATAATTTTTAAGTTTTATATAATATTATTTTTCTGATAGATAGAGAAGTGATAAAATAACAGAGATTTACTAAAATCACTCGACTCTTCTTTCTCATTATCTTATAGTAAACAGTATATCATTGAATATCTGGAGCTCTTTGAATTCACTTAAAGTATTTGCCTAGTTGATAAGACTATTGTTTCAATGTAAACGTTTGTAAGAATGATAAATGCTAAAATTTAAAATGCATTATATTACAATCATATTCAGACAAGGGATAAATAGGCATATTTTAATCATATAACAGTTAGAATATTCACGAACACTTGAAAATAAATCCATCTTTTATAGGGTTTCAATTATACTGAAGAAATTTAAATATTCATCTTTAATATACAATAAAAAATAAAAAGCATTTGTTACTAATGTGAATACTATAAACCCACTGATATTTGATAAGTAATGAGTTGAAATAAAATTTCAAAATATTATAACACTTTGTAGTTTGTACGGATTTTTAATTTTCCAATGCTCATTGTAAACTGATGATCACGTTTCAGTTGAAATGTTACTAATTATAGATAATTATATGCATTTCATATATTAAAATATCTAGTGTCACCTTTTGTGAAACTGTCGAGTGTTTAAAGTATTTACTTATTCGGTAAACAGTAATTTATAAAATATCCGATGGTTTTTATTTATAATACGCTAAACTGTAGCAGTAACAAAATAAAACTGTTTCTTTTATATGTTTAGTGATCCCTCACGAAGTCGTGATATTCACTGGTGACAAAAGCGGAAGTCAGACAAAAAGTATTGTCACTGTTCAGTTGTATGGAACACCATTGAAGAGAAAAACTGAAAATATACGATTGTCAAAAACACAACATTCTTTCAAATTTGGTCAACCGGAAACATTTCGTGTGAGTAACTATTTTTTAAAACACATTGTTTTAGCTATTTTCTGAAATTCAAGGATTTTAAAGGCCTAAAAACATATCAAAACACCTGATAATGTTAGTCGTTTTGAGATTAAAATGACATATATGAAATATCAATTCATGCTTTCAAATTTTAAAATACATGCTTTACTACCTGACTCATTTCCATCCGTTTTTTATTGAAACTAGATATTTGCACCAGACATTGGGCCTTTACAAAAATTAATAGTTGAACGTGATGGTACAGGTTCATCAGATGGATGGTACTTGGAGAAAGTTCTAATTAGAAAGCCATCTAATTTCTTCCAGAAAATGAATCGTTCTCCAACAACTAGTCCTGTCAGATCAGTAAACTTTCAGTTATCAAAAGGTTAGTGAACTCATATATTTTTACTTAAGTGTATATAAAAACTTTGCCATGATATGGTAGGCAAGAAATAATGTCTTCACTAAATAAAACGCACATATTAGTTTAAATATATTTAGTCTGATCATTCAATCGGAATGGCGTTTAATTTACTTATTGGTAAGTACAAAAACAATTATATGACTTTAAATGGTAACAGCAAGGTTCCTAACAGTCTAATTTCTTAGTTTACACTTATCAACTTTATGTACTGAAGATTACCCTACTTGATAACGCTTAAACACAACAATATCTGGTACTGGATGTCATAATATGAAAATAATTCTAGCTGTTAAAATGATACATACTGCAATATCCTTCTAACATAGGCACCATGTTACACCATGTTAGTAAACAAATACAGGGAACTTAATTTATTGGTTGTTCGATTTGTAGAAAAATATGATCGTTTAGAAGTGCGAAACAATCCCTTGGTCTTACTGCGTTAAAAGCAATTTCACTTAACTTTTACTGTAATTCAATACAGAGTGAACCATAAATAAAAAAAGATTTGAACTAATTGTTACTTTTTTCTTGTGTAGTTAATAGGTAGTTCGTATTTATAAATAAATGGCTTATTATGCAACACTCATGGATAGTCAACTGAAATGAGTGTACTTTATATGACACAGTATTTGTCTGCTACCTTAATTATACGAATGACGAGTTTATTGATCCTTGTTAGTATGTTTGTGTAGCTCTCTCTTGCATGGTATAAAATTGGTGGTGATTTATTGCTTTGGATTATTTTGAATTTATTAACAGCAATGGATGCTTTTGAAGTTTACTCACTGTAAACACACAGTATGTTAACTATAACTGCCCCTGACTATTACATTCTTTTCACTTTTAAATTACAATATATCATGAAAGATATTCTAAATACTTGTTCAAAGGAAATTATGTTAATGAATACAGCCGAATGTGTCTAATGTATTTCTTACTTTTGGTATAGATCGCATGATACCGCAAAAAGATTCTAATCAATTCAATTATACACAAAATGATAAAAATATTGATGGTCCACCGAATAATTTCTCTGTCCCGGAAGAAATAAAAGATGCAGAAGGAGCTGAAAACTACTGGTTCTTTTTTAATGCTTGGCTGTCTAAACAGTATGACAAAAAACAAATGAATGGTGAAAGCTTTTCCTCCACTGAAGATGGAAAACCTTTGCAAACGCTTATGGGTAAGCTTGACTAAGCAGTAGTGAAATTATTTTGTAAAACGATATTCTTACTGACGAAACTTGCCAGTATGAAGAAATCATTATTGTTTGACCTGAAATCAACTAAAGCATAATAATATCCAGCTCATATGTGAACAGTGTGTGCTCACATGAACTGTATTTTCATGATAATTGTCTATAGGTTGAATAAACTATTTCAGTGACAATCCGAGTGAAGAAATGTTATCACGGATTTCAGCCTCTTTGGATGTAAAAAGATGAGAATAATTATGACAGTTGTTTTATTGAATGTAAGCATGGTTACACTGAGTAACAGTTAGTTTATTGACTTTTTTAACGCCTCTATATTAACTTAGTATGTGTTGAAAGAGGTTTACTTGATAGATCTTTTGAAGCTGTCCCTGTACAAGGATTAAATGAAACACGAATATCTATTCAGATTATTACCAAAAAAAGCAGTATAAATTTTACAATATGTATTTTTCAATTTGATTAACAGAGTCTTATTATGAAGTCATTGTGAAAACTGGTGATCGTAAGTTTGCAGGCACTGATTCTCATGTTTATTTAACAATGTTTGGCATAAATAGTGAATCAAAAGAAATTCATTTATCAAATTCAAAAACACACACTAATAAATTTGAACAAAATCATGAAGACATATTTGATGTAAGTTTATTCATAAAACATTCAAAGAATTTCATTCTTTTTCATCGCTGTTGTGTGTTTCATTAGATGGAAGTATGTTAAATTTTATTGTTTTTAACTAGAATCATTAAAGTTCTTTTTGTATTGAATAATTTTCCACTGTACATGCTCTAAATGTACGTCATTGAATGAGACAGATTATTATTTTTATTAGGGTTTCACTGTATTAGACAGAAGATTTTTCGGAAATCTTAGGTTGCTCATTATTTTATTGAAGTAGTAAAAACCAATCGTAAATAGATTTTCAGTTTCTTAAGCTCACGTTTTGTCACTATCGTTGAGACGTTCAAAGTCAATCTGTTAGCAATATACACTGTGAATTTATATGTTTTACAGCAAAATCTTATTTTTTTCGTGAGAAATCGTTAACCAAAGAAATATCTTGAGAATCCATAACGTACAAAAGCTATTCACTCATCGAAAAGTTTAAGTAAGAAGCAATCCAATTTCGCTTTTAACATTAACAGTTTGGATTAGATTGAATACGCCTAATAGTTTCAGAAATGAAGTAGTTTATTATTTAGCATTCAGGTCGTATCAAATACATTTATAGGAACAAGCGATAAGAGGAAAATATAAGATTATCTATGCACATATTTTCCTTTCAAAAAATGCATCAGTATTTTTGTTATATGTAACGTTTTAGCCTCTTCAACCTTCATATAAATTTATCAATGTTTATGTTACATCAATTTCAGTTGAATGCAATCGGTTTGGGGTCATTGATAAAGGTTCGAATACGACATTCTAACACAGGTATTGCACCTGGCTGGTTTCTAGACTACATTTTAATCCGTGAAAGTTTTCAACAAAAGAAAATCGAGTATTTTTTCCCTTGCTATCAATGGTTATCTGCTACAAGTGCAGATGGGTTGGTTATTAGAGAACTTCCCGTTGCTTCGGAAAATATTCTTGAAAGATGGAAATCTGGTCATGATATTTTTGACGATTCAAGACTTATTTTAGAAGGTTTGTTTTAGATTTGATGATAAATTGAGTTTAATCATATCGTTCAGTATTCCATGACTTTTAAATAAAATTATATTTGATAGCATTTGCATATATATACACAAAATAATAATAGCATCAACATATGCTGATCCTTTTCTGTTACGTTTACCTGTTGACGTTGCTTTGTGATTCATTTTCATTACCATATTATGCTAGAATTTATATTAAAATAACATTTATCAAAACTTTCGAAAATGTTCAGCTTACTTGAAATCTAATTTTAATGTTAGGTTGTATGTAAGACATTCCTCTTTTTCAAAAAATACAAAGATGTATTTGTTTTGATTCCAGATAACAAACGGGAAGAAGAGATAAGGTTGCAGAAGCTGGCATTTATAGAGGCCAACAATTATTGTAGCTGATTGGTAGGAAAGCTTTAAACGAAAAAACGTGTGTTTTTTTCATTTCATTACCTAGATTTTCCACCAGTACTGTAATAACGATTGAAACGAAGCTTTAAAATCCTGTGTGTATCACCATGGCTGAACACCAATGAAGCAGAGTAGAAAACTGTGTCAAAAAGATACATGAAACATCAACATTACTTCATAATTTTAGCTTATACTTTTCGGTAGAATATAACAGCGAAATAAGGTTTCAGTTTCCTAAAAGAAACTAACTTGTAGTAATTTAATCGTTTTATCTGCACAACTTTGTATAAAACAGAGTTTACTCGTTGTACTAAATGGTCCAGACTTTATTTTTGTCATCGATCGAACTACCTGGTCAGTACGAATGATAATGACTTCACAAAACAATTTTATTCGACATTTGATCTAAACGATAATGACATGGCAGTATAATCGCATAAATGTACTTTAGTACTCATTAAAATAATGATTTGTACAATTGTTTGAAAATTTTGATGTTACTGGTTTTGATCGGTAAAAAGTGCTTGTGAAGAATAGCTATAAAATCTAATTAGTTTTATCAGTTTGGAAACTACTTAAACGTGTATTTGTATGAAAATAAATTTAAAACCAATAGTGAATGATCAATTACTCTTGAATGACTTTACATTACGAACTTATTTTTAAGTCAACTCAAGATAATTGCTTTTCTCAAGACTGAATTTGACGGTGTTTACTGCAGATCGTGAACACAGATTGTTCACTGTCATGGTTTCGTAAACTGTTTCAACTTTATTCTGATATCATATAATATCATTTCATTTCTATCAATTCTAAAATAGTATAATTATAACATACAATATTAATAAAGTAATAAGTCAAAAAAATGAACTTACGTATGATGCCACAATTGCTTTCTAAGTAAATGTGCAAAAACTGTTGAAATATGTAGGAAACAGATCCATGAGGAATAGAATGACCTCACAAATGCTTTCTTACATGCAGATTCACCTATAAGCTATGTATTATTAACGCTTTTACAATGGAAATGAGATATGCCAGGAGATATGAAACTTTACACAAAACAATAAATAGAAAAAAAGTACACTAAGATATTAATTACTTTAACTTTTGTTGAATGAGATATTCCACAACTAAACAACCATGATCAAAATTCATAAAAACATAGATCTCAAGTTTAGATTGAAAGGATATGAGATAAGGAAACCTAGAAAAGGTCAACATTGAAATCTGAATTACATAGTTGTTTAAGAGTTTACAAGCATCAATTCTAATGTGGGGAATGATGGTTATAAGGTACAGTATATGCATTTATGGTTTCCGTGAGTGCATTCGTGCATATGCATGGCTACAATATACATAAGTGAATGGATTGTTTAAACTTAACAATGTATATTGCAGAATGAAGTCAAATGCATATGATTGACATTGGTTTATACTACAATCATCCTATAGACATAGTATGTTCTCAAGAAAATTGGAAAAACATTGAGTTCAGATCGTGATATTACAAGTGTATTGTATTAGCATAAATTAAAGTCACTTTAGCAATTGTAACTCCTGAAACGGTTTGCGTGTCCACTATTAGGTGAGACTTTCTTAATATGAATTAAGCAGTGACAATCAACAGGAATCTATAAACTTTGGTTTCACGGTTTGTGAGAAATAATCCATTAAAGATATTTAGAAATTGAAGATAAGTCAAATATTTTCAGGGAATTAAAGTACACTGTTTAAAACCCTTCTGATATGTATGAAAAATAAATTATTCCTGTATAATCGTAAGAAACACACTGACTAACCAGTCAATGATAATGTCATTTTATGCTGTCTATTTTAATTACTTTTTACTAACTTTAAAATTTTCACATGAAATTGATCTGACATTTACTTCTTAAGTATACACTGTTGGTCAATTAAAAAACTGAAAAACAACATGCAAATTCAACACATCTCTTTAGGAAATTATGCAATCATGATAAGTAAAAGCTACTTCCTAATGACTATCAACACTTTTCTTCACTGAGCATAATCATATACTTAATTGAAATCAAGTTATATCTAATTAGTTTTTAGAAAACTTCACATACATTTGGAACATTTTAGAACAATATGATTAATGTTAGGTTGATACTATTTACATATTAGCATTTGTGAATCTAATTAAGAAAAATATTATAACTAATATATACACCGAGGTTTTTGTTTAGGACGAGTTTGCAGGAAGCGAAAAGCAATAGAATCGGTATACAGAAGCAGCCTTACATCAGAAAGTAAACACCTTGAACTGTTAAATGGAATGAAATTCTCATCATGAGATTTGTCATATGAAGATATCTTTTTTGATTACCTTACGAGATGACAGTGCATTTGAAAATACTAAATGACCTAAAATAAACAAAATGATTCATAGTTCATTGTGTTTACAAACTCTAGAATTTTCATTAGGTTTCTAACAATTTAAATATATTTTGTAATGCATCAAAAATACAAATACCCTGTGTTACTTCAATTTCCTATATAAACATTTCTTTTTTTTGAAAAGACGATACAAATTTAATTTTATTGACATCAATAATTATTCGATCAAATCTAAAACAGTTACCATAAAGTTTTGTCTATGATGGCATTTATACGCAGTAGTTTGTAGTGTACTCAATTAACCACTATTAGATTTTAACATTATAACAATCATACCTTTTAACAGACCAAAGTACAATTTATCATGTACGCATTCATACGGGTTCTCAATCCAACATCAGTTCCGATGCTAATGTTCAAATACAGCTTTACGGTGATAAAGATTTCACTGGGAATATTAGACTTTATAAAGCATATTATGGAAATGAAGATGTACTTGTGAATAAATACCAAGCTGATCAAGTAGCAGATTTCATTGTCAAAGCAATTAATGTTGGCAATATTAAAAAAATCAGGTTAGAGTAGAAAATTTAATTCAATAAAATTATTTTAGAATCGAACATAACACAGCCGGAGGATCTTCTAAGTGGTTAATTGACAGTGTCGAAGTTGAAGCCAAAAAACTTGGACTTTTATGGAAATTTGAATGTAACCGATTCATCACACCGCAACAACCTGAACTAATATTGTATCCTGCACCAAAAGACATATCATTTGTAAAGCCTAGTAAGTGAATATAGGATGAAATTGTTTCATTAAAAATAATAACATGTATTCATATTACTTATTCAGCGTCATAGTATAATAAAAAATATCCGTTTGAAGCATCATTCAAATTTATTCTGTTACATTGAGAAATTGTAGTCGAACTTTAGGAAGTTAAAAGAATGAGCTTTACTTTTGTGATTAGAGCTGAGTCCTGATTCAGCCATAAAAGCCTACTGAAAAAATAGATATCAGAGTGCATTGAGCATAGCTAGTAATTTTTTAGTTCAAACAACTAAAGCTAATGAATAGCAGTCCTATTTCTAAGTCTCAATTGTTCATGCTTGCAATTTAGTGTCAGTACTCATGCTAAGGGTCAAACGTAAGCTTTTCATTTCAAATACCAAAGCTTGCGGTATTTAACATCAACAATGCGAAAGTATGAACTGTCACAATGAATAGTAGACTTTCGTGGTTTGGTGAAATTCATGAAATTCAATCTTTAAAATTCGACCATTATTAAATGCTCTCTTAAAAACATATAGATCTAGAAAGAATGCATTTATGTATCATATCGCGTGATGAGGATTATACTTTATAAAATATTTGATTTCTTATCAAAGACTGATATTTTAAGATAGTTTTACTTATAGTAAAGTTATGAAATCGATTAGTAATCATCGGGAACATCCGTTGATATGATAAAATGATAAAACAAGCTTCTACCGATATATTAGATACCAGTATTATTATTATTATTATTACTAATGATAGAGAAAATGAATAATGTTTACATATTAGAAAACAAGTAACTTATTAAGAATAATCCACAATAATCAGTAATTATCAAATTAACCATATTCCTGCTAAATCCATAGTTGGATACAATCATTATGATATCGATTATAGAAATATGCATTCAAAATAAGTAAAGATTTACCTACTCAGTTGAGGCGAATATTTTTAATTGTTATTCGCAAAAAATTATTCTGTAAGACATCATTATTCTTGTGTTTTGATGGTCAAACAAATAAAACATCATAGTTGTAATTACGTGGTGGTCATACTCAGACTGCCATTGAAAAGCATTGGACACTCGTGATGTTCGAATATGGGTCTCAGGCGTGAAATACTCGCCTCTGGAGCACTAAGATGGCTTGAGTTCGATTGTCAAGTAAATTGATCATAGATAATAACTCTGCAGGAGTCCTAGTACTTCTATGTTTTAAATGGCAGTCTAACTGAGATCAGTTGGTGATCTAAACTCTAAAAATTCTGCAGTCTCAAGAAAGCCATAAACTGATAGTACAATTTTAGTTTAGAATAGATTGAACCGTTAAATGAAACTGCCAAATTAATATATGGAAATGAATTTGGCTAGCCGTTACACTACCCTGCGATGTTCTCCTGATACATAGAACATCGTCAAAAAGTAAAATTCATATTAACGTATAATCCTCTCTTGTTATTCAGTAACATAAATTAGTTTTGCAGATAACAATTTACAAACGGAAAACTTCAAACAACTGCAAATACTTAATTACAAAATAAATAATAATGTTAAATTAGTCAATGTATTTCCATATACCTTTAGTGATCAACTATCAAATTAAAACATTTACAAGTGATATTTCTGGAGCAGAAACAACAAGTAGTGTGTATATTCAGCTGTACGGAAATGATGGTTTACCAAGCTCCATAAGACGTCTACATCAGAATAACGAAAGTGAACTAAGATTCCAACGCAACAGAGTCGACACATTTTACGTTGAACTAGAAGAGTTACAAGAACCATTCAGTAAGCTAAGAATATGGCACGACGATAAAGGTAGTTCAACAGACTGGCACTTGAATAAAGTAGAGATCAGGAAAATCAAAACAGGTCAATATGTAAGTGGGCACTTTGAGATTATCTACTCGTATTTATTTCTACAATAATATCTTCATACTTTTGTATAAATCTAAAGTAAACAATTAATTGTAACAATTAAAATGTTCACTGATAGAGACAGTTGCTCATATAAATCAAAATTTAACTGTTCAATAGTGAACAGGTAGGTAAAAAAATCAGTCAATTTACTCTGGCTTAGTAATTGTGGAATCCTGTACTCCTATTAATACTTTAAATGATTTGAGTTCAATGTTGTTTGTAGGTAGATTTGCTGATTGATGAAAATTCCTTAACTTAAAAGAAAAACCAGGTTAGTGCTTTTTGACTTTCAACGATTCCCCAGTCAACGTTAGCTCATAACGAGATTTACCATTGCTTAAATTAGTTAGAATATAAATATGCCTTATTTTCTAGCAAAAAAATCAAAAGTTAGAAACTTTGGAAAACTTTGTCTACGTTTCTAAAAACAAAAACGAAGCTTATAAAGTCTCCAAAGATTTAACACTCCTAGTATATTTCACTGCCAATCGGTACAAAATTATTGATGGATTAAATGTAGACTGATGCATGATTTGTGAAATAGATAGCCATAACGGTTGAAAACATTCAAAAAACTCCATCATAAGTAAATAACGAGAACCAGTTGTTTGAACTCATTAAAACACCCTCGGAGTGATATGTAAATGCACTGTCCTGAAGTCGACACTCGCAATTTAGAGATACCCCTACTTTATTTTACTTTGAAATTAGTTATTCGAATAATTTCATATCGACTGGATGACATCACAAAGGAGATTTTGTTTTAAATTCTTATTACTCACTGTCAAACCTCATAACATTTCTAAATGAACTATCATCATCTTTTTCAGAACGTTTCTATTGAAGTTTTTAAATGGTTCATGTTAATAGCGTCTCTGCTTAAAATAATGAAATAAGATTGCCTCTTTCGGATACTTAAAATAATACATGTAAGAGATTTTTATTTCCATGAAGATCGATTTGAATTTAAACTGTATCTCAAAGCTAATTGGAAGCGTTTTCCTGAGTAATATCAGTCGAGTAATTTCATAAGAAATAAAGTTTAGAATTATATTCCTATTAAATATGTCAAACAATATGTGTAAATGTTTACAGGTCTTCGTTACTTATATATTTCCGTGTAATAAATGGCTTTCACATAAAATGGATCAATCTGCATTGGAACGTGAACTTATTCCAAGTCATATGCTTCAGGATCAAAATGGTATATTACAACTTGAAAGACAAATATCACCAAAATGGTTAATGAACACTTATGAAGTAAGAATAATCACTGGTGACAAGGCGTACGCTGGAACCGATGCCTCCGTCTACCTCACATTGTTTGGTGAAAACGGTGATAGCGGTGAACGTAAATTGATAAAATCTCTTACACATCGAAATAAGTTTGAACGTGGACAGGTTAGTGTTCATATATTGAGTTTCCACTAAATGACTGACATATATTGGTTAAAAAACTCTGAATCTTGCTTCTAATTTCAATAAATTAAGTTCGCTATTTTCAGTGACTAAGTGTAAAAGGAATCAGTAACTTTCTAACCGTGTAACGCAATGAGGAAATACCATAAACTAGTAGTGATTCATGGAAGTTAACTCCAAAAACTAAAAGTCGTTTTAACTTTGGTACATTCGAATTACTCTGATTCTGTTGGTTTTTCTGTGTACCATGATTTAATTATTTATTTTTATCATTATAAAATTTGTGTTTAGATACCATGTAAGTTGCTAGTTGACCATAAAAATCTAAGTCGTCCTTAATTCAACTTTCCACGCGGTCTTCCTTTTTTGTCATATATGAAAGAATGACATAAACAAATACTCCATGTATTTCTTATTTGGATGTTCGAAAATTCTAAACTTATTTATCTCATTTTCTCAAGTTAGCGGTTTTACGATTGTATCATAACCAAACTCTTAGTTAGAACACACGTTCGTATTACAATTATATTATAAACTATATCCTACCAAAACCTATTTAACTCCATGAAAGTGGATATGCTCAATTTCGCAGCATCTGTTTATCCGCACAGAACTATAATAAAAGTTCCTGATCCATTTGTTTTAGGATTTAGATTGTTCGGTGTGGCATAATGCTTTCTTTTTTCTAACATTTTAAAATATTTCTGAGCCTTTGGTTCCAGTGTGATGAGTTCATAAAAACCTGTAATTTCATTTTTTTTCCCCCGATATTGTTAGATCATAATGTGCATACTACTCATATTTTAATTCAATGGCACATATGATATATCGAAGTAGCAATGGCAATGCACTAACTTTCAATTATTATTATTATTTATTCAATTCAAATTTTTCCTGTATGTTATCATCTAAGTCGTGTGTTCGATATAAGTTAAGAAGTAAATTTTATTCCTAGTGTAAAATTTATTCTATCAGATCCATTTTTATTTTGCAGACAGATGTATTTCAACTGGAAATAGTAGATTTGGGAAAAATTAACAAAGCGCGCATAAGACATGACAATTCAGGTGTTAATCCTTCTTGGTATTTATCTAAAATCGTAGTTTTCAACATTTCAAAGTCTCAAAATGTACAAGATTTGAAACATCATCCCAAAGAAACTCATCATCTAATGACGTATGTATTTAATTGTGAAGCTTGGTTATCAACCGAACATGACGAAAAAGTCTTGGATAGATTCTTTACAGCTGAAACAATTAAAGCCGAAGATACACCTGGCTTTGCATCAACTATTGTGCCAAAAAGTCCCAAAGATGACGTTCCTCCTAAATTAATGCCAGATTTGTCTAAGGAGAAAAAACTGTCTCAAAGTAATTATTACTACGATGCCCTTTTTTAATAATTTAGTAATTTCATAATTTTTCAGTTTCTTTATTTCTTGTTACTACTCCCTGTCAAGTTAGTAATTTCAGGGGTAAATGTAAAAAATAAAACCATTAAATTATTGTACTTAGTATATGCCGATAATATAGCTCTACTTCAAGAAGACGCTGACAAAATGCAGAGTCTTTTGACAACATTCAGCAACAATACGGTCATGTTCGGGTAGCGATTCTTCCCCTCGAAATACAAAATGTTTCTTCGGCACTTGAACTAGTGTTTGGGAGTGAAGTTGTTGGGCTGATTAACCGCTTCACTTATCTCGGCAGTTTCATTAGTGTTGATAGCCTGGTGTGTAAAGAAATCTCAGTGCAGATACAAAAGGCTCGATTGGCTTGGGTACCAGGTAAGGATTGCAAATCACTTCATGCAGTGGTAAGTCTTCTTCGTTTGAGGTGGTTAGTTCATGCCTTACGTACGCCTATCCACTGACTTCCTCCACGAGCGATTATGCCGGGTGTAGGAGTAGGCTGTGATTACTAAGCTGGGTCATATCAATAGGCGCAAGCTATCTGGTTGGGACCCGCGATATAGTAGTAACTGGTGATTACAGACTTCCACTGACATAGCTCAAATTCGTTTGCATTGGTGCAGGTGCATCCATTCTCTGTTTTCCTCAAAATTCTTAGTTTATAAATTTATCATAATATTTTTTTATTGATTCATGTTTTCTTGATTTTGTATCTTCCACCTCAAATCTATTACTTTAAATACCGCCGCTGCTCTGGGATTCGATCTGGTAATTTTATCTTTCGATCCTAAATGAGGCATGTAATTTGAACTCATATATGTATGTAGCAATTTATACGTTGAAACTGACTAAGTGGTTAGAAGCACATTCACACATATTTTGTATTTAACTCAGAAGAGAATAGGACAGAAAGGTGTTTCCGTTTCGGTCTACTGTAGTGAAGGAGAACACAGGTGAGGGCAACCGAATTGCAATTATCTCAAATTACACAGTTAATTGGTAAAATGGAAAAACCATATCGTAAATCGTTAATTTGAAAAATATCAGTCCATCATATAGAACTGGACTGTTCCTGTTGCAAACATCAGTCCATTGTCTGACATTTCACTATTCATGCCTTTCATACAAATCCCATTGTGTTCCCACTCTTCCTTTCTTGATCTTCCCTCATCTTCTGCTGCCAGACATTACGTTTTTACTCGCGTCACATACTACTTATAAGTAGCGGGCACCACACTACTTATGTGAACAGCATAGCTCCGTATTCAGCGATCTATGGTTTTATTGTGTAAACTACCTTTTCTAGGTCCAAACTACTGTTAAATTGTGAAAAGCATTCATTTAATTTTTTCGACAGATCTAAACGAAGTGCTTATAAATTCTTAACTGTCTTTTGAATTTTCACATTATTAGCTGTGCCCTATTTGATTACGGTTATCACTGGTTCAGACAGGAAAGCTGGAACGACCGGTCCTGTGTGGATTTGCTGTGTTGATAAAGATAAAAGGAATTCAGAAAAGTTAATTCTAAGTGATAGTTATGGTAGAACGACGTTGAAAAGGGGAACTACAAAACATTTTCGTTTCTCAGGTGTTAAAATCGATGATTTGACTGAAGTACAAGTGAGATGTAGTTTTTGACTGAGTATCTTTAAAGTTACATTTGTTTTTAACTCATTAATAGTTGATTCAATTACTTTAAATGTCTAGGAAGTATTTTAGTACAAAATAATTGTTTAAACGCGTACAATAGCTTTTATCCCCTATTCCTCTCTTGATTAAATAAAGTGATACCTAACAAAAACTGTGAAATACGCTTTTAACAATAATTGTGCAACTTATGCGTGTTCTCGAGATAGCAAGTTTTGATTGGTTTTGGGTCGTTATTAAAGCTAAAACTTTAAACAGTCGTCTGGTAACTTTCTTAGGTCTTTGGTTAACGTTTTTGCCTAAAATACTTTGGTATGGTCAGTAATTCACTTCTTTGTCTGACGTCGAACATCTTTCTGCTATTCAGCATTTGGTGCCTTTATATACACTATTTATAATTTAAGAATGACTTTTGAGTTGAAAAGATTATTAAGCTGCATATTTACCAGATAATTACTTTTCTCCTCTAAGGTACGATACTGTACAAACTGAATTTATGTTTTTAGACCGAAGGGTATATTGTCTCACAGAAGAAGATCAGAGTGATTTACGTATTCTATAAGAAATAAATGATTCAAAAAACAACTAATTTAGAATATTGTGCTGAAACAAATTAAGAGTGATGATAAACTTCACGTTGTTATGTCATCTAAAAGTATCTTAGTCAGTAATAACGGTCATGTTTTCGTTCATTCATTCACTAAATTGTACATACTTTGAAATACGTTTTATTGTATCACCAAATGGTATGACTTTTGCCATGTTGTGTTTTATCTTTCATCATAACTGACTGCACTACATGTGACACGTTCGTAGCAGGATGGAGTGATATTCTTATTGTAGAAAATTTTCCTTTGTTCACGATTGTTTGTAAGTAAACCTTCAGTTTACACTGTGGATAATAGAAACTTTGAGACGAAAACAGTAATTCCCGTATCATTCTGATTCGATCCCAGATACTACGTTAAAATGAAAACGATAGTGGAGTTTATACCCAGCTCAAATCAGACACTAGACACCGTTAAACACAAAGAACATTTGAAGGAAGAGACAGTATCTGGGTAGCAACAATTTTATTAAAATCAAAATGTGCACTATTATGTCAAGCCTACTCGGTTTGTCCCAGCTTTTGTTCTTAAGTTAACATTCACACATAATTATTCGCTCATAACTTCGAGTGTTTTTATTTGAGAGTGTGTGTGTATCGATTATTTTATTGATTACTTGTCTTGAGTTTATCTTTATCTGACTATGACACCCTAAGGTCGGTCCACTCGCATTCACTGCTTTTCTTTGCCTTTCCGCTTCTTCTCCTAACGTTCGTCTGTGTAAACGATTATATGAAACAAACTCATCCAATTGAATCCCTATTATGCTTCTCAGGACCACCGTCTAGCAAACCAGTTTATACTAAGTATCATTTAAATAATTCAAATTGAAGACTTATTTTCATAGCATATTTAGTCGTTTGTTTATATTGGAGTCAGATTTCGGGCCACTAAAGTAGTACTTATCATTTGCAGGGACAGAGAAATGTTGTGATAAAGTATCCCAAGATCGACTTAGCATCTTTCCTCATCCACCTGCCAACTAAAGAAAATATGTCAAAGGTTCAGATCGACCTTAGCAGCCATAAAATATCTGTTCCCAAATCGCAACGTGACTTACTTCCTGTTAATGATAATCTTAACACAACGTTATGAGCCGTTTGAATTACCAATATGATAACATCTACTGAATCACCAGTCGAATAATGCTACTGTTGTAGCAGACTTATGAGCTGAGAGATCACTATCATAAATTTTATCAAGCAAGGGGGCAATTAAAACTCCCGACCTCAGTTGAACCCGTGTAGCTTAGAAATGGTTCAACCATTGATAAATCCAGAGGCATACTATTGAAAATCTGCAACAACTGGTTGCTAACTGTTCACAAACGTGGATCACAATATCTGATAGTGTTTAAAACAAAGCTCTTTTTAGGCTTTTTAGTACATATATTATTCATCACCTTCAGATGCTTTTTTAAAGCTAGTCAACTGGTGGCTGTTTATGTAGTTAGACCATATCAGTTTGTTAAGAAAAAATGTCTTGCCAATCACAGGATCTGTTACAGGATTTCGTCATTGGGATATGTATTTTTTCGTATACTTATAGCCTTTTTCTTAACAATGTAGGTTGGAAATGATGCTCCAGAAAGTCCTTCAATGGGTTGGTACCTACAGTCGTTATATTTGTCATTCCCTACACTCGGAAAAATGTATCCTTTTGACTGTAAAGAATGGTTATCTACAAATCGTGGCAATAAAAAAAGGATCTTTAATTTAAAAATTTCAGATAAAAATATAATCAAGTTTAGAGAAAGTGAGTCCGCAGGAATTTTGTTAAATTTTTCTTGATGAAAGTTATGCTCATTTTATTATCACTTGAGTTTATATGCACTTAGCTGTGAGAACACATTACAAACTTAATTATATAAAACATTGATAAGCATCTTAATGTGTGAAATTAAATCAATATAGTTATCTTCTAATACACTGGCTTTATCATTACTACAAAAGATTTGTTTTCATTGCTTTTCAAGTCTTTTGTTTACCAGACAAATGAGTTGGGAAGATTAATTTGTGATGCTCAGGTGTGTGATATCAAATAACGTGTAAAATAAGAAAGCTTGAAGCAGTTGTATCATCCTAGTTCAGGATTTCCCTAAAATTTATGTATCAATAATCTCACAAGAAACTAAACGAAGGTTGCTCATGTCTCTTGATTAGCAGGACAGTAAGATATACTGAGTCAGGAGCCAATAATTTCAAATTATCGAACTACCTTCTATTCAAATTATTGTCCAGTTATTAGCTTAAAGATTTACTAAGTATAAGACCAAAAGGTCATAAATCCTAATCCTCGTAGGGTCCTAAATCCAAACTCTTAATTCATTTCAAATTAGAGCACACAAGGGTTCAAATATTTCCTAATTTTAACTGTCCAGTAACTGATATGGTTAAACGACTAAACCTGCAGTTAAGCTTTGTTTGCTGGATTTTGTATCACTGTTTCTAGATTATGGATAGTAACTAATATGAATCTCGCAAATAAAACAATGTTGCTTTGTACAAATCCGGTTTTAACCTTTAGTGTCATTTAGCTAGATAATTTCGATGACAGTTACATCGATAATTAAAGATTTAGTTTAACTCAGCGTCTATCGAAAATCTACTAAGAAATAAAGTTTCCAAAATTAACAATGTCTTACGATGTTCACTGAGCCAAAGAGTTTAACTAAGGAACTTCTACTCTCTTTCCGGACGTCGACAATCTGTTTTTCATGTGGAAGTTAGTTTACCAACTATTTCATCAGCCTAGAAACGTGGAAAAAGAACCAACTAGTAAAGAAACCAAGAACCTCATTTGTACATGAAGCAAGCACCGAGGATGTTTCTCATAAAAACGATAGAAGCTCAGCAGTCAAACCATCTTGCTGTGTGAGCTCAATAACACAGATAAGAAGCCACTTGAGTTTCAATAATTATTTCTGATGATATTTATTTAATGCAACAGCTTGTGTTTATTGACACTATTTCCTTTTCTTTTAAAAATTTCCAATACATAAATTATTTTCCACTTTGAAGAAATCACCTATCATTTGAAGATAGCTACAGCTAGTGTTGAGAAAGCTGGGACAGACTGTAGCATTATCATTCAAATTTTCGGTACAAATGGTGTAACAAACAACTACATTTTAGAAAAGATCAGTAACCGGTATGTTCAGGGAAAAACGGATACTATTGACCTTGAAATGGAGGATGTAGGAAAACTGTTAAAGATGAGAATAGGACATGACAATCAGGTAATACTTTGTTATATATATATATAATATATATATCACTTTTTTATTGATTTGTGGACTAATATTTTCTAAACTCTAGCACTTTCATTGTTTTAGTATTCTAGAAATTCATATGCATTTGAACTGTGATAGTCGGTTTCTTGGCTTTTATTCTTCATAGAATATTTGGTATTTTAAAAAGATATCACTAATAAACAGCCCATGAATATGTGTGTTACACTATATAGCTTAACAATTATAAATGCCTATTGATGAAGAACGGTATATTTAATTAGCTAGTCGATAAATTAATCTCCATTCGTTCTATAAACAATCACAAGTGAATACTGTGTTTTCATAGCTTTCAAGTTTTAAATTTTAAATTAAATAATGAACGCATCAAATAGACACAGTAAGCAAGTGCTCAAAATAATAAATCACAAAATTATCAAGAATGGCATACTAACCGTGTAGGACATTAATGAATGATTTTAAGCATTTTTTAAACTACATACAAGGTTGTGCTGATATATACTGTAGTCTTATCACAAAGTTAACATTTAAGGACTGTAGGATATATTTTTGTTTATGAAACATCTAGTAATTAGATTGTACAGAAAAAGATTTAACGAATTTATAACACACTTGACTTATGGATCAATACTTTCACATGAAGAAGTAGTTACCACAATTATTCAGTTTATTGTAACTGTATCACGTTTATTGACCTTTTTTAGTCAGGTATTGAGGTCGCCCACCAGTTTTCTCCAACCAACTCTGTCCTGCGCTTCCCTTTCTAGTTCTTTCCAGTTTTTGTTCATTCTTCTCATGTTTTTCTCTATTTCTCGTCGTTATGTGTTCCTTGGCCTTCCTCTTTTCCTTTGACCTTGATGGTTCCATGTGAGGGCTTGTCTTGTGACGCAGTTGGGTGCTTTTTGCAGTCAGTGTCACCTTGAACATAGCCTAACGAAGTGTTAAGACGGGACAAAAAGCGAGATTATTAGTCTTTGAGGTTAATGTTTAAAAATTCAAACTATGTTGATGATTACGTATTATTAAGTATTTATCAATTATTTTGTCTATGAGATTTGCTTATTATCATAAATTAAAGTGAATCAATCGTAAATGTTATTGTTCAACATTCTAGTTTTATTAAAGAATCATATTTGTCATCAGGAAAAAAATTTGTAAACTATTATTTGGTATAAATTTGTTTTCAGTGTTTACAGTAACTATTTTCAAAACATGCTATATTCTCTACATTTTGACGACAATATTTATTTTAATTAAATTCAGGGTAAAAACAAACATTGGAAACTACAGTGTGTGGAAGTAACTGTCGGCAATACAAATGAATTATATCGTTTTGTATATGATGACTGGCTTAGTTTAACGTATGGTAAACGAAAATCAATATGGGTTGACCTGCCATCTATGATTGGTGATACTGTTCAGTTGAAAGGTATCAAGAATTTGAATAATTAAAATGTTACTTAAATATAATATTACTCACAATATGAATTTAAACAGTTATACATTTAAAATATCCTCTGTCTTTCAAGTAGTCATCTATATTTAACCTGATATTTATACTTTTTTGCATGGCTGTTAGTTTATAAGCTTTTTTTTAGATGAAATGGGCCTTAAATTAAACCGCTGGAATTTAAAAATATACTGATTATAATCAATATATAGTTCAAGAATTATATGTTATGAACTAAACTGTTTATCAAAAGTGCGATATAAGTTTTATATTGGCTAATTAGTGATGTAAACTTGGGTGTTTTTTAATCACATAAACAATTTAATTCTAAAGAAATCTAGATTTTACAGTACTGATTTTAAGAAAACAGTTTTGTATAAATGGAGGAAATTTAACTGTTGAATTATTTGAAGATGCCATAAATTCTAGGAGTTCAACTGTTTCATGTGTATGGCAGCTACCCACCGAAGACAATGAATTACGGTTGCGCAATATCGTGGGGTGATTGAAGTTTTTGGATACTGGTTCATCAGTCTAGACGTTAGGCGTTCGCCTGTGTGGGTTCGAAAACGTGCACTGCTCAGAAGTCGCATACTACGATGAAATGGCCTTGCATTACTTATGAGTTTTCAATGTTTGTCTAACACTGATCGGTTCATAATTTTAACGAGATTTGATTATTTGTTGTGCATCAAAATATTTTACAGTAAATGACGAACAACGAATACTGTAATGTTTGATCTTCAGTAAAACATTTATTCAATAATTCAGCACCTCATTATACTATACTAAATGCCTGGACAATGTAATTCAATGAATAATAGGCATGTTTCTCAGATTTACTAATGATTACACATATCAGAACGATTGTGTGAATAGTGTTAAGAATAATGATCCAATTTTGGTGAGTAAATCCCAAAAATAAATAGATTTCTAAGCCTTTCATAATTATGCTGACTCGACTAGTTTTACTGCACGCGTTTCCATCTAACGTCGTTTAATCAAGTGACCTCACTAGATAACGTTTGAGTACATTGTGCAGCAGATCACCCGCAATAGCTAGTTAGCTGAGATTGAGTACACTCCAACACGTCTACCTTAATTCAGGTTTACGTCTTTATTCCTTCATTCCTGATTTATGGTTCGATTGGCTTCGGAATAATTCCATAAGAAGATACTTCTATCTGTTATCTAATATCCATACCCATGATTACTTCAGTTAAATGGCTAAAATGTTACCCCGAGTACCACTGTGAAAAAATTTCTAAAGTCTTTGCTTTTCAAATCAACTACTATCTGCAGAAGTAACGCAACGATATGGATGTTTTCCAAAATGTTATCAGAATGGAAGAAACGAAGACATTTCTGTGGTTCTAGACACTTAGGGAAGTCATTTATACCGATCGATTTAGACTGACTGTAAATATTTTGAAAAGATAATTTTAGGTATCATTAACATGTAAAATTATAAAAAGCCAGAATGAAGAAAGACCTATATATTTTCAGTGTAAACATCAGTTTACAACTTAGATTATTTTGGAACTTAAAAAGGTTTTTAAAAACTAAGTGCTTAACGTATCATATGCTAAGTATATAACGTGGGACAAAAACTCTATAATTTTTAAAATAGAATGTTATATAGATATATAATAACAGATTAGGGTATTTATTGACAGAGTTTACATTTATCGCAAAAATAGCGGCCGACGAATCAAAACAGTCTCAGTAAATTTGTTCGTTTGGACAGACTACTGAGTCTTTTTGAGTAATAATATTCGGTATTCTTCAAGCCATTTTGTGTAAGAGCATTAATTATTTAATTTATCTAATTTTTATCAGTCAGTTATCAAACGAAACAACGGCAAGTTTTAACTTGAAGTACTAGGCCATTTTATGAAGGGATTTATCGGAATATACAACCAGTCTACTTAAGTCATGCTAAGCAAATATTTTACCGCACCTATAAACGAATTGTATGTAAAAGTTTACGTTTATTTTTGTATAGGGGGTTAGCAGAAATTCTTTCTATAAATGTCATATATTTTTATTGCTTCAAGTAGTGAGAGTACTTTGACTGCAGATGCATCACAATGTTAAAGAGAGCCTCCGATGTTCAGCTTTTTATTATTATTGAATTTCAAATTCATTTTTGTTCGAACTAGAGAAATCCTACTTTGTTAGTAAACTGAACTTACCGTAGACCAACTTGAGACCACCGTACGTATGTGGTTACATAGGAATGCTCGGTAATTTCTAAAAGTTCCTTTCTTCATATATTTAAATAAATCTAAAAGGACAACTGTTTCAGAACAAGTATTTCGTAAGCATAAAGCTTGTATCACATACCCTGAATGGGCGGAGACTTGTAGAACTTCCAAAGACATCATCCAGAAGATACAAGTATTCATTAACAGTTGTCTGAGCAAAATACTTCGGATTCGTTGGCTAGACACCATCAGCAACAACCTACTGTGGGAGAGAACAAACCAGATTCCAGTGGAGGAGGAAATCAGGAAGAACTGCTGGAAGTGGATAGGACACATAATGCGGCATGCACACAACTGCGTCGCAAGACAAGCCCTCACTTTGAACCCTCGAAGTCGAAGGAGAAAAGGAAGACTAAAACCACATTACGCAGAAACAGACATGAGAAGAAGGAACGAAAATTGTACAGAGGTGGAAATGAAGAGCGAGAACAAAGTATGTCGGAGAATGCAGATCGGTGGCATATTGTCCATTTGGGGTCACGGGAGAAAGTGACTAAACTGACATCAGTTTTCAGACTATTTCCACCTTTTCTTTTAAGCACTAATGTTTTTTGTCAGATATATTACTTTATATATTTCATGAACACAGTTACAAATTTTTTTCCACAACCAGAGACATGTTTGGATATATTTGTTAAAACTGGAAGTATCCCGGGCTGTTCTACAGAAGCAAATGTTTATGTACAACTTTTTGGTGAATATGGTGATTCAGGAGAGATATTATTAAAACAGACTGTATCGAATCAGAAACCTTTTCAAAATAATTCAGTAAGTTCTTTTTCTTCGTTTTACCTGTTATATTTGTATGAACTCTGAAATTTATAAATTTTACTTTTCATAGTTTGTTTATGACGAATAATATTTTTCATTCGTTGATAAATGCTTTGAAATCTCTTGGATATAAATATACAGTTACCTTAAAAAACACGAAGCGTCAAATTTCTCTTCAAAAGAATAATTATTTGCCACAGAACCTGTTTATTTGAAAACTATCAGAAATGTATTTTTACCAAGTAATCTAGATAAACTAGAAAGAACCACTTTCTTATTTCGACAGAGATCAATTTTTACATATTTGGACTCAACATCTGAAGTAATTATACGCCTGACTATTTTTGGTTGATCATGCTTCATTACAATGAGTTGACTCGCTCGCCTTCTCCATTGCGCTTCGCTTTGCTTTAACGCTTTCTCTTCTCCTGTCCGTCTGCACAAAACAAACTCATCCAACCGAATCCGTATTCGGCTTGTAATTACTGCCGTCTTAGAAACGGGGTTCGCCTAAGTATGGTATACGAAAACTAAAGAGGACATATATTTGATACCACACTCGAACGTTCTTAAACAAAGAAGTCAGCCGATGGGCCCCAAATTAATGATCCCTACGCCTAATCTAATTCAACCACCAAAGTGATGAGTCTCGACGTAGAACCTAACGCAACCACAACTGACAGTCATAACAATTTATCTCATGAGCTGTTTGATTTTCACTTTCATTGTTTTACATGATCACTTACTTTATTTTTTTATAATTCTTTGTTTCCCATCTTCCTCTCTCAGATAAAAGTGGGGCAATATAACCTTGTGTATAATGGTAAAATGTTTTTATAGATTCACCTAGTTGTCAAAAATGACACACTATACCGAACCACTTAGGACGATTACATTTACTGGGAGTTTGTATTCCATTATTAACAAAACTATGATTTTGACTGTTTAATTGAGAAGTTCTATTTCTAGATGGTACCGTTTACTTTTTTTTCATCTGTGAGAAACCAAGTAGATATAACCAGTGGATTAAGCTACTTTAATTCATAATCCAGTGAACAAAATCACTCAGCAATTGATGAATTTGAAATAATGGGATATTATCTGATATAAGGCGAACAGATATTCGAAATATAAAAGACAATCAACATCAAGATCTCTGTGATGACTTTCACCTGATGTCACTATTTTCGGTATTTTACGGTCGAATCTAGAATCTTGGGGAATGATAAAATGTCATGAACATATTTCGTTTAGCTAACTCAGAAAGAGAAGGAATAAGAATTCGAGTAAAATGATGCAAATTTACTTCATTTTTTCATGTCTTCGTAAATTTCTTACAATCTGTAACGTTTCCGAATCAAAATTAATAAGGGGTCACAACAATTCCTTCCCACCAGCAGCCTCTGGAATGTGGTCTCTAATACACCTACGAATAATAATTTTAAATAATTCAGGAAACTTTTAAATTGGACTAGATTTAATTTCAGAAATAACCTAGTTGCATCACAGTGGTACCGATCCAACTTACAGATACTAATTTCATCAATGATAAAATTTACCTAGTTAAATAAGAACGTACATCTATGAGGATAAATAATACAAGAAAAACTTTTAAACTATGCTTAGCTGCCACGAAATTTATTCAATGGATTTTTAGAGAACAGTTCAATAAGCCAGGTTTTAGTAGAAGTACCAGCATGTATCTCTTATTTATTTGCACACTTTTGAGTCAGTATTTACTAGTTTCCCTCAAGGCCACCAAAACTACCAGTAATGTTCGATTACTTATAATTACTTTTGATGTCAATACAATAAACTAATTATTATATTTCAGATTGATCATTTTAAAATACCATCGATTTTGAAACTTGGTAATCTCGCTCGTTGCCGAATATGGCATGATAATAAAGGATCATCACCAAATTGGTATTGTGAATGGCTAGAAGTGAAAGAAGTTTTAATCACGGGTGAAAAAAGTTTGACATGTAACTGGAAATTTTCAGTCAACAAATGGTTATCCATAAGTGACGATAACAAACAGTTATTAAGAGATGTTCCATGTTCTGAAGTTTATGTCAATGATTCAAAAGGTCAAAGAACTACTGATCAGGAGTCGACTGAGATTATGATAATAATGGCAAATTCTATGAATCTCTTCGACCTGAAAGAAAGTCCTGAAGGAAAACTAGGTGAGAGAGAGACTTTTTCTGTACAATTAAAATTATCGTTTTGATATTTATTAGACAAACTGAATAGAGAAAATAAATCCTTTTAGAACTTTTAATCACTCTTATCTGTTCTTGACTCAACGAAAATGTATAATGTTCCGCTACTCAAAGATGAACATGCCAGATTGTACACCCTGTATGCGATGCTGAATAAAGATTATGCTAATTAATTGATACATATTCTATAACCCTCAACACGATTAGTAGATTTATTAGGCAAACTTTATAACTGGCTGTTTGGTGATTGATTGGGTTCAGCCTTATTGTAAATGAGACAACCATTAACTACAGGATTTAATAACCTGATTATCTCAAGAACTAAAAAATCAAGACCACTTAAGTTTGACTCACTGGTTTAAATGTATCCTTAAATTCGCATGATCTAAACAATCTGAATTAGTTCCCATGGTTGATCGTTAACAGTGACTGCTTAAGAGTCACAGACTAGGTCCAGAGAGTTGTTTGGTGCCTTGAGCTTCCTAGTGCGGAATTCCATTCTCTAATTTTTGGACAAAAAAGATATAATATTTTTTCGATTAGGTAAAAGTATTTTTTTTATCAACTAAGGTCTATTTTTACTCCTTCAAAATGTTGCCACCAAGATTCATTGTATGTAAATATCGGTTTGTTAAACCTTGTTAATTGTCTTAAAATTTTATCCTAATTCGGTAGATTGATTTCGAGTTTAAAATTTATTCAGTTCTCCTTAATGTAAAAGCTTTAATATGTTTTCATGATGCTTGAATAGTTAGTTATCTAACATTAACTCAACAATTTTCATGTTTATTTATTTATATTTGTTTTATGTAATGAAGATTCGCTTTATTAACAAATTCACTTACTGCCAGATGAATACAATTTTGCATCTTAAAGATCAAATATTTGTTGATAGATTTTTCAAACATATGTCTTAATTTTTAAATATAATTAATCTAAGACGATATTATCAGAGGAAATTTTCAACGAGTCATTATGAAAACTTGCTTATACTTTATTACATTTACAATTGTGATGAGAATATTATTATTATTATTATTATTATTATTATTATTATTATTATTATGCTAACCTTTTTCGCTAATCAGTTAAAAAGATCAATAAACACTAATAAGTCATCATAAATATAAATGGTTTGTAGCTGACAGTGAATATGGGACGCGCATTTCATCCTATTTAGGACTGTATTCCAGTGATGATGTTAATGCTGGAACTGGGATCTAGCATCTTTAACTTCATACTGAAAGTATACTCCATTGATCTACTAAATTCATATAAACATCGACTGATTCAACTGGTATAATCTTTTTACAATTACTAAAATAACAGCATTATAATTCAAACATGATCAAACAAATGATGATGTCAGACTTTTTGTATGAGGACACTAACCAACTAACAAAAAACATTTTCTTAAATCGATTAAAACCACCCTATTTAACGTGGAATTTCAATTCTCAGAGATATTTCTATTGAATCAATGTTTTTCATTGTAACTCTGATAAACTGATAATATTAAAAGATCATTCAGTTATCCACTGTGAGTATTATCTTTCTTCACCTCTTGATTGGGCTCTAATAAAATTTATATAATATTAAACTCAACTCAATAAAGGCTCCTGTGATTTATATAACTATTAAGAACCATACAGTGAATCAGTTGTTTCAATTCGTTGAGTGAATATGCTGACAATACTTTCCATCTTATTCACTTAATACATAAGCTATATCTCACAATCTTCTAATATTACTCTCTATTTACAAATTTGATTTTCTTTTGTCCTATTCTATAAATGATAAATTTTATGGTAACTAATCAAATGTGGTGGTTTTAAGTATATCTAATTTTTATTCGGTGATTATTAAACTTCTATTACATCTCTATCATATATCCTGACCGTAGCTGCTACTATGATGTGCTGGTCGGGCTTGCCTTTCGTGATAACATGGTGAGGTTAAATGAAGGACTGCTCTCGAATCCTGTATGCGCGTTTTGAGGATGCAGCATAAAACAATGACGTGAGATTCTAAATTCCTAGCTAAGAATGCCTGCTTTTCTATTTGGCATAACGTGTGAACATTGAAAGCCTCAACATGCAGTTTATAGCGTTTTGAAATGATGTATGTACTTACTTAATTCTACGCTGTTGCTGACTGACTGATATATCATTTACACAACTAATATTTATTTTAGTATATGACATAGTGATAGAAACTGGAAAACTAAAGGATTCTGGTACAACTTGTGATGCTTGGATAATGATAGAAGGTAAACACGGTCGTAGTCCGAAATTGGAACTAGTTAACCAAGTTGACAATCCAATACTTCAAGTTAACCAAGTGAACAAATTTCAGTAAGTTCATTTAGTCGAGATTTCTCATTTGTTAAATGAAATTCATTAAGTTTTGATGACAGTACTTATTGTCACTAAATAGGTCCAAGTTAGAAATGTCCGTTCATTGAAATTTTCATACATTTAACTATTTTGATTCCATGAAACAATTGTAAGTCAGTTTACTAGAAAATATAAATGTTATTTTCAGAAATTACCGTCTATATTTCATACATAACTTAATGACTATGACGTTCCTCATAAAGCTTTCTTAAATAAACTGGAATATAAAGTTTCCCGACATACATCAGACAATACTATTCCAATTAAAGATCTACTATATCACCTACCTTTATTAGTGGTTATAACACTTGGTCATCAGATCGATTCCATTACTAGACTAATTTGTATATGCATTTAGAAAAGTATCTATTAGTTACTTACTTACGCCTGTTAATCCCAATGAAACATAGGCCGTCGACCTGCATTCTCCAACCTACTACGTCCTGGCACGTCCTTTCTATTTCTGTTCAATTTTCGTTCACTCTTCTCATGTCTTTCTCTATTTCTCTGGGTATTGCGTTACTTCGCCTTCCTCTTTTCTTCGATTTTGAGGGTTCAAAGTGAGGGCTCTCCTTGCGACGCAGTTGTGTGTATGTCAAATCCACTGCCAGCACTACTTCCTGATTTCCTCCTCCACAGTACAGTACAACTGTCTTGACATTTGTATTGAAAATTTTGACTTTGGTGTTTGTTGATAGTACTTTTTAGTTGCATATGTTGTTTGGCTGTAGAAATGTAATCCTTGCATTCCCGATCTGCGCCTTCTCATCTGCATCAGATTCACCTTGCTCGTTGATGATACTGCTCAGATATGTAAAGGTTTAGTACATCTTCCAAGGCATCCCCATCAAGAGTGATATGGTTTGTGCATGTTATGTTGTATCGGAGAATATCGCTTTTCTCTTTGTGTATGTTGAGACGTGCTGCTGTTGTCCTTTGTGTACGATTTCGCAGCTGGATCCATCATAAGAATTCCATATGACTTTGACTATCTTGTCAGGCATGCCGTAGTGTTGAAGAAGCCTCCATAGTGTTTTCCTGTTGACGCTATCGATGAAGTTGATGTCGAGTAGTGAGTTCCACTCAGTTGATTGTTCCACAATGATCCGTATTGTTGCAATTTGGTCAGTGCTCGATCGATCATTACGAAAGCCAGTTTGTTGGTCTTGAAGTTGCACGGGTGTCTACGAAGTCCTTCATTCTGTTTAACAATACCCTATTGAAGACTTTGCTTGGTATTGAGAGAAGAGTGATGCCTCTGTAGTTCTCACACTTGCTGAAATCGCCTTCGTGTGGTATTTTGATCAGATACTCGTTTCAGTCTTATGGTACCCAAAGTGCTATCACCACCTGTTTCTCTGTTCTTCAATGTTGCTGATTACTTTGCCTTCCTCGCTTTTCACTGGTCGTTCTGGTTCACGATAATTTCCAGAGAGCTTCTTTGTTGTGTTGTACAATTATCTCAAGTTTCCTTCTCTTGCAGCCTTTGCGCCTTCATTACAAGATCTTCCACATATTTTCGTTTATCAGCTCTGATGCTCCTCTTCACTTTCCTGTTTGCTTCTGTGTAGTCAACTTGTGCCTTGACTCTCTCTGCTCTTGTTCGGCTGGTATCGATAGCTTACTTCTTGTTCCGCCCTTCTTGAATTTTTTCAACAGTATCCACGGTGATCTTTTCCTTGTGATGGTATATCTTATAGCCCAGAACATAATAACATGTTGAAGTGATTGTTTCCTTAATCTCTTTCTGCTTGTTCTCCATGGTTTTTTTCTCCTCACTGAGTAGATCGTGAAAACCCTGGAACCTATTGCTGAGGGCTATCTTGAATTCGTGGAGTTTGCCAGCATCCCAAAGAAAGCCCTTATTAAACTTTGATAATGTATTCCGCCCCGTTATCTAGTGCTTCTTGATGTTCAGTTTCATTCTGGCGATCAGCAAGTGGTGATCTGAGGCTTTATCAGCTCCTCTCCTCGTTCTCACGTCCACCCTGATACCTCTGAACGTTTTATTGATGCCGATATGGTAAATTTGGTTCTGAGTAGTGAAACTGGATGAAATTCACGTAGTTTTATGTATGTGTTTGTGTGGGAACATCGTGCCGCCGATGACCACTTTGTTGAAGGCACAAAGGTTTGCAAATTTCTCACCGTTTTCGTTCCTTTCTCTCATGCCAACCTTGACATTAACTTCTTCCATTAGAATGGTCTAATCCTTTGATGAACATCTGTCGACGATTGACTGCAGCCTTTCGTATAATTGATCTTCAACCTCATAATCGTAGTCTTTGGTAGGTGTATAGCTTGGACGACGTTTATTGTAATACCCTCTTTGTTTTTCATGAAGGATTCTCTGATGATCTTGTGTCCGTGAGACTCACATCATATCAGTGCCTTTTGTGCATGTTTGGACAGCATCAGTGCAGCTCCTTGTGTGTAGCTTATTCTTCTTCATGGTCGAAGTACAACAGCAGCTCTCCTGAAACTTGTCTCAGTTGTCGTACCTGTGTCCAATGCGTTTCTCTGATTCCAAACACCTTCAGGTTGTATCTTTTCACCTCTGCTGCAATTGGGAACAGTCTTTCGGTCTAACACATTGTTCAAACATTCCATGTACCTAAATGATTGGTTGCTCTGGTTGTCAGAAGGGTTATCTGCCTCGTGCTTCCGAGGGAACTTGGCTTTCAAAATGAGACGTCATAACTCTTCTGAATGAATACTTTCCAACCCCCAGGGTTGAGTTTAAATGGCTGGAATTATTTTTTTGTTAGTGCTTTTTTAGCGAGTTAGTTTTTTACGGGATGGGGTCATCAACCTCACACCCAACTCTCCTCCTTGATTCGGGCCTGGGAACGGCAGTAACCACAGATGGGCTCCAGGTGTAGTTAGAAATGTATTTATTGGTCAGCAAAATGTTAAATGATAACTGGTGAAAGAAACCAGTCACTGACATTTAACCTTGTTATTTTCAATTGAATGTCATCCATATTGCTCCAGGTTCATACGAATCCAGGTAAATGCCTATTCTCATGTAACTTGTTTACAACAAATAACCTAACAAATTTTAATGAGTGTTAAAAAATGCTTTACGTCTAAGTCAATAATTACAATATGTTTACAACTCAAAATTAAATAATTTAACCAAACCATTCATAAAATCAAAATACCTAAAGTTCTGTCAAAATAGTTGGAATTAACTGTCAGTTCACAAGACTGTTTCATGATCTACCCAATGAGAATAAATCCACTTCTCCGAGCTATTTATTCATAAATTTTTTCAATAACTACGATCTGTTTCAAAACACGACATGATTCAGCCTAATTCTTGGATTCGCGGTAAACTATTTCTTAAAAGCGTATCTCTGTGTTTATCTATCTTGATATCTTAAGGTTACCAAGCTTTCCGCTGGGGGATCTTGAAACCATTCGACTAGGTATACAACAGCAAAATGTTATTAGTCAAGCAAATCAAAATGATATTCAATCACAAAAGTGGTTTTGTGAAAAAGTAAGCATAATAGATCCAGTAAGCAAACGGACATATATATTTGCTATTAATCAATGGTTAAGTGTTATGCCGACTCCGAATTCCAAGAAGGATGTTCTGGTGAATTATAGTCAAATAATTGAAGATCCTTATAAGAAATCGTTCAATGAACTTAAACGTAAGTACAGGTGTTATTTCTGTATCAGATTTTCAGATAATTCAGTGGAAAATATATTACAGATCATGCGATTTTCTTTACATTTGATAACTTTTCTCATTTTAAATTCTAGTAAAGTGAATGTTTTTAGTAATTTTCGAATTCTCATTAATCATCTTGTTATCTACCAAAAACTGTTGATAACAAGTAAATCTTCTACGATTATTTTACTGAGTTCTCCAACTTGATTTATCGAACCCTATTTTATGGGAACGTTTACATCAATTCACTAATTTAAAATAATTAGTTTACAAGAGTTAGGTTTAGTAATGTCATTTATTATCAGCTAAATAACACTAAATCGTTTGTCAGTAACACAGTAAGTCTGTTCCTTAAACTAATTTTCAAAAATTCATCACAGCACAAAGAAAAGTATCTGTAACCCTAATGTAACATTCGAAAAAGTGTGGGTTTTTTTCAAATTAAACGTTTAGTTCACCTGGAACTAGTTGTCACTAGTTTCTGACCATAAAGAACGGGACTGTAACAGGACATACTAACAAATAAAATATGAAAATGATAAGATTTTACTATCCATAGTATTTTGTGATTGTCATGTCATGGCATACTGAAGATTTCAAATTTCAAAGACTGTTGAGATTAAGAAGTTGTTTACGTTAAATTATTTATTTCATCTTTCAACGGTATACTACTTTGTATTAATCACTGAAAGTTGATAAAAGAACCCACTTCAACATCCCGTAATTGCTGCATTCAGTAGGATGTTGAAATAACTGAAACGACAGAGGTATCAGTTAAGAGGTATGCTATATACAGATTTATCGTTCCTAAGCTGATTTATTCTGGACGAAAATTTCACTTCTTTCAAAGTTTGCTTTGATTTTATTTTGTATGTTGAAATTAACAACTTTGTACCGTACTACTTAGGAAAACTTAATGTGGTTGTGCTACACAATTCGCATGTGTTCTCTCAATATTATAGATATCTACTGAACGTACATTTTTTAAAAACGTTCCATTTGTGTAAACGTTAATGTATTAAAAAGTGAGAATAATATATTATCGGTTATACAACTAATCAGACCTAAAATATTGTAATTTTAGATAGACGAACTATCATTTACAAGGTATCCATTTACACTGGAACAAAAGGTTGCGCAAACACAGATGCTAATATTTTCATCACGATGTTCAGTAATACACCGGGCCTGAACTCTGGACGGATTGCTTTGAAACGAGAAAACAAACATTTGTTTGACAAGAAACAACTTGATGAATTTTTTGTTGAATCTATCGATTTAGGTAGGTAAAACTTTGATATTCTGTAACTATATAATAGGAATATGCAAGCACCTCCCGTCTTTACTGCACTCATCAGCATTAAAAAAGTGTGAAAAGCATTACATTTATGGGGTCGAGAACGTATAATTAAAACATCATTTTGACTAATGAAGTGATTCTTCTTAATATGCAATTTATCGGCTTGAAAAGATTATTCATGTATAAATAAATTTATATCTGATATATAACGGGATTATTCATACAACATAGGAGAAATGGAATCCAATACATTCCACTTTCAATTGTGTGGTTTTACTGAAACAATCTTATTCTTCAGAATAACTAAGAAGCATTCCTTACTAGAGGATGAAATAATAGTTTCGTTTCTGTATAGCATTGGCAGTAGTAATAATAGACAATATTTGTTCTACATTGAGTAATTAATACTGGGTGGAACCACTACCTTATATCTTAGATGTCTTCTCTTATTTATGATCCTCATTGTACTCTAGGTTGGAAGAAATTCCATCCGTAATTTGTTTAGAGACAGTAACTTTTTACAATTCCGTAAGGGCTTTTTAACTCAACAAAATATAGAACTTACAGGTTTATCTGGAGTTGTATCAAATATAATAATATAAATATCTGTATAGTCCAGTAGAATTTCACTAGTAAATTTACTGATATTTATATTTAAAATAATTAGTCATTTTGATAAATTTGGATATTGCGGTGAGAAGAAAGTTAATATTTATATGTTACTAATATTTTCCAAATCACATTTTATTTTTAAACGAATACTCTAAAAATAAATCTTTTTCGTTTTCCAGAATTTGTTCAACGAATTATCATAGAACACGATAACACAGGTGTTAGCCCCGACTGGTATTTAGATAAAATACTAATCACAAATCAGACTAACGATCAGATTCACATATTCCAATGCTATCAGTGGATTTCAAAGAAAAAAGGTGATTGTAAATCATGGAAAGAATTACTGGTCTCAAGTTAGAATAAATGCATGACATTGAGAATGAAAATCAATGATGCGCTGACGTCATGTACCAATATCATAATAACTCATCATATCAGTTAATATGACGAATTTTAATTAAAATGACTGCCCTCGTGTATTTATAGGCACTCCAACAGAAATTGCTACTGTAAAATTATTACTTCACTATCCGACAATCGTTAGATAAACAAAATGTTTGACCACAGTGTTCGCATTTTCAGGTTGTTTTCAATACTCACGGTTGATCTATGTGAGACCCTGAGTATCCGTTTATTTGGATAAGATACTTGGGATGAGTACAGGAATGTTTAGTGAAATTAGAGTACTTCGTTCGTAGTCTATCAATAAACTGTAGTGAAAACTCGTCGAAATTCGGTTTCACACTAATTCAAACGATTTTGTGTAAAAGAAGATTTCAAGAAGGAGACTCGCTATCCCGTTTGGCTACTCTAGATAAATCAAAAATAGTAGGGAATCATAAACAATGTCAGCATTAGGAAAAATGCCTGTTGATCCTACTTTCAAAAGTTCATTCTGGCAGAACGATAAAGCTTTAACATAAATTGTAAAGCCGTCAGTAGTTTGCTCATACAGGCAAAGACCAGATATAGGCAACATCGTTATCTGTATGGACTTATGAGATGGTATTTTGCTTTGTTTGCGTAAGTTATTTCTAGGTTACTTGTCACAAACGATTAAAATCCTTCTTGCCGAATCTGATAACTTGAGTGGGCTGATTATAATGCTTGTAAATGCCTTGGTACGGCCCAGAGCAGAAGGAGCCTACTCCGGCTCTCTTCATTTTCTCTTATGACAACGAGTATAGGGCCACTGCCACGAAACTCTTATTCACTGCCTTCTCGCGACGGGAAGGTTCTTACGAAGATGAGAGGAGAATAGTGAATTTTCAGCGTCTAAACTTGGTATTTGGGTACGGAGGGGCTCCAATAACAGTTGAAAAACCCTGATTACTAGCAGATATCGCACACGAGCTCCCAGGTCTTGAAAAGACAAATGACGGATGAACCTATCATCATAAACTGATTACCGTTGCACTGTATCTCTGATAGTTGTACCGCTGCTTTTTAAACTGCACCTTAAGGTCAACGGAACTGTAAGATCCGTTTTGAAGGTTTTGTTTGTGAAAATCCCTCCATGTATATATTTGTAATTTGTTCTTATTGATTCCTTCAGTTGTACATTTTGTTAGTCTGTTTGATTCCATTTGAGGTGATAATATTTGTATTTTATTATAGTTTCGATTTCGTTTGCCTTCACTGAGTTTCTATGTTTTTTTATAAACTGCATTTATGTTTTTTAAGCTAATACTTAGTCATAGCGACAACCACGTTGATTTTTTGCCTCCTTTGATTGAGTTGCTTGTATTGACTAGAACAGTGCATTTTGATTGCGAATTGAAGCACTCTGTGTTATAAAGCAACCAAATATTACCTTTCGAACGAATCTAATCTATCCACAAGGAATATAATAACATTTATTTGTTGCTGTTGATTTGAATAACTGAACAGTTGTTGGTGGAATAACTGAGTGGTAATATTTGTTTAGGTAATGATGTATATTTATAGTCATAATGAATATTAGAACCGTCATTTACCCAAATCACTTGTTTTCGCTTCAACTGAGCAAGGCACGTATCTAAACTACCTAGACAGTTATTCCTCAGTCCAAACCTCAGTTTGGATCGTACAGGTACTGTGAGTGGCCCTTCAAATAATCTGCCTTCTTCGGTTTTAGTACTCAGACAGCATCCCAGACAATTCACAAAGTTACTGATCTGTGTGGCATGTACATTTTGGTGCTCATTCTCACTAACTTTATGTGTTAAGTTAATAAATAAAATACACTCAACCATTACAAAGTATGAATGAGGACTTTTGTAGACAGCTGTCTGAAGCATTGCACCTCAATCACTTAAGCGATTTATTTACTGCATGGCTTAAAAATCAGTGAGTATTAGTCCAATAGTATTTTTAATACATTGTTATAATTTATTGTAAATTTCATAATGGATTACTTTATAATCCGTTCTGATATGACGATACAAAATAGCGGAAGTAATTTTACCCCTATGCTTGAATGTAAGAAGACATATGTGTATGTAGTGTTTGAATGAACAAGTGACTTCTTGGTTGTTGAATGCCTGATTTCGAATTCTAAGTACAGTACATTCTTTCGTGCTTATATAGTAGTTCTTGATCCACTTACGTTATTTCAGGGATTATTAGTTCTTGCTATAATTCATATACTTCTAATTATCATATTGGAGTTGCGATGGAGCTTGTGATGGAACAGTAAGATATTCATTCAACTTCTGAAGCTTTTGAGGATTATTTGGGAAGGTTTGAAATCTGGAGCATGACCAAGAAAGATGTTAAACATGATAAGATTGTGGCACATCTCCTGATATTCATCGGAAGAGAAGGGTACAGCTTATTAAAAACTTTGGCATATCCGGAAAAAACTATCTCACTTCCCTATGCAACGCTTAAGGAGCTCTTATTAAATCATGTAAAGTGCACTAGTTTTGAATGCCCTGAAACGGCGAAATTTCATAAGATGACTCATTAAAATGAATTGCAGAAACAAGCTGTCACATGTAATTTCGGTGATCAACTTCATGTGCAACTGAGAGACCGATTAATCGCAGGAACTAACATACCGTTTTTGGACAGATAGCTGTTAAGAATGTCGAACTGTTCCTTTCAAGATATTAGAACTGCGTGCATTAACTATGAGTCGTTGAATGAACTTGATACTAAGTGGATGAAGATTTCCAATACTTTGATTAGTTGTCATGATGAAATACAATCTCAGGGTCAATCAAAATTGTGTTCGTTTAACAGTGGTTCCTATTCTCGTGTAAATATGAACGTTGTTTCAATAAAGAATTACAAAGGAAATCACAAAGGTGAGACCAAGTTTGGAAAAAGTTTATCATGTAGAAAACTTCATTCTCGTCATTCATGTGCATTTCGTAATGCTAAATGTTTTAGATGTGGTAAGATAGGACTTATTCAAGCAGTATGCAGAACTACTGTTCATTTTGCCTCATGTAGTACTAAATCTTGTAATTTGGATCCCAATTACTCAGCTGATCCTAATGATCATTTATCTTTGTCTACCATTTCGAAAGGTAATGCTCATATTGAAAAGCGATTATATACATCGCTTGGTTCATGTCATGAATTTATTGTGGACACAGGCAGTATGGAGTCCATTATTTCATTCAAGAACTTGAAATCGTTAGATCCTAACGTTGTGGTACGACCCACTGAAGTATCAATACTGGGGATTACTGGACACAGACTGTCCATACGAGGATGTTGTGAATTGCTAATAAGAGATGATAATTCCTCAAACACACCTTGTGAATTTTTAGTTGGCGAAACAGGACTGTCAATACTGGGTTTAAGGAATTTGAAAAGGCTGAAAGTGGAGTTGTCCTTCCTAGTTTCTAAAGAAAATTCTGATGCTTTACTTAAAGATTTGATAGCCACGTGTGCTAAGTGTAGTGGAGGTATGAAAATTCAGCCTATAAAACTTCAAGTACAGGGTGATCCAGTTTTTCTCAAAAGACGAATAATTCCTTATGGTCTTCGAGATGCAGTGCATAAGACATTGAATGATTTGTGTGCAAAAGGCATAATTTGACCGGTTCAGTCTTCAGAATGGGGTACTCCTATTGTTACGCCACTGAAATCGGATGGCAAGACTCCTAGAATATGTGGTGACTATAGACTAACATTGAACTCCCGTTTGTTGAAGCAAACATGCACGACGGTAGAGGCTGAAGATATTCTAAATCGACTTCATGGTTCTAAAGTGTTCTCAAAAGTTGACCTAAAAGATGCTTATCTTCAAATCCCTTTAGATCAATCCTCATCTATTTCGACGACAATTAATACTCCTTTTGGTCTGTTCAAATACAATTTCCTTCCGTTTGGTCCAAGTCGTTCTTCAGCCATATTCCAGGAAGTTATGAATAAGGTGGTTAATGAGCTTTAAGGTGTTGAAGTTTATCAACATGATCTGATTGTTCATGGTGCTGATAAGGGAGTTCATGACCAAAGACTTATTGCTTTATTGCGTCGTTTAATTGAGAAGAATATTACAGTAAATCCGAATAAGTGTTCATTTTTGTATCTACTTTTGAATGTCTTGGATACCTAGTTGATGGTAGTGGTTTAAGAACAGATATGAAACGACTAGCTCCACTGAAAAATGCACTGTCTCCGAAAAATCTTACGAAACTACGTTCACTAGTGGGTGCTCTTCAGTACTATTCCCGTTTTATTCCTAATTTTTCTTGTCGTGCAAACTGTTTATTAAATATTTTGACATCCAATTCATTCAAATGGGGTGAGGAACAAGAATCATGCTTACGTAGTCTACTAAAGTTTCTTCAAAGTAATGCTGTTCTTAGAACTTACTCCCCTAGTGTACAGTCTGTGCTTATCACTGATGCATCACCTGTGGGTATTGGTGCAGTTATGGAACAGGAAGGTAGACCAGTTATTTGTGTTTCACGCAAACTTACTGTTACTGAACAAGGCTATTCACAGACTCAGCGAGAGGCATTAGCTGTGTTTTGGGCTGTTAAAAGACTTCATAAATATTTATTCGGAAAAAAATTCAATATTGTTACTGATCATGAGTCTTTGCAGTTTATTTATCATCCTGAAAAATCCTTAGCACGTGCCTCAGTTGCTATGGTTCAACGATGGAGTATTGCTTTGAGTGCCTACGACTATACGGTTCAGCGCAGGAGTGCCAAACAAATTCAACATGTTGACTACATTTCTCGACAGTCATTACAAGATAAACCTGTTAATACTTCAGACTGTTTGTTGGTGCAACCTTTACCAGTGAAACGTCCAGATCTCATAAGAGAAACTCGTAGAAGATTTGGATGTATAATTAATGCTATACGGGAAGGTTGGAATGCTAATCTGAAGCGCAGATTCCCTATCTATTTT